TCCTGTAGAGTCAAGGATACATTGTAGACAGAGTTGTCCGGGGCTGAGTTCCGGAAATATGTTTCCGCACCCCCACCCCCCTCACACCCTCCCCGCTGTGGGGGGGGGGGGGGGGGTATAAAGCCGCGGATTTACAACATCGGACATGTGAATGCAAAGCCGTAATTATAATATATATTCAAATATGCTCAAAATGTCCCCCCCAATATTTTGATATAAAATAGATTTCTGTTTATATGATTGTGGTTATGGTTGTACTTTATTAATCCCTAATCTCTGCCATTACATACAATGAAACAAGAAAAGGTAAGAAAAGATAAAACAGAGCAATGTAATACAACACACTTTTAGACATTATTGTAAAAAATTAAGAAACAGTCCATCCGATGTATTAGTGAATTTTTTTATTTTAGGCAGGAAGTTCGTCTTCAAATTCTGATTTTTTTTTGTAGGGGGGGACCCCCAGACCCCCAGAGTCCCTGGAAAATGTGGTCCCCCCCAATGTTGACTCTATGGCTACGGCCTTGTGTGAATGGATGCGGCGTGGACGGCTCTCTGCCACCTGCCTTCGGGTTGTCTCGCGCGTGGTTCTGAGCGTCGCCTCTCTGCCCTGCGACTGCCCAGCGGCGTCCTTCACGAGCATCCTCCACAGAGGCCCATCTTGACACCGCTGGTTCCAGTCGTTGGCAAGTCCACTCGGCTCCGATTTCTCCGTCATCACGTCTGTCTGCTTTACCCGTGTCGTGCCCGATAAGCCCCCTCGATCCGGCCAAACAGAAGCTGCTTGGGCACGCGGTGGCTGGGCTTGTGGTTTACATGACCCCGCCAAAGCAGCCGCGCCTGCCACAGGAGCTCACCGATGGGACTGAGTCCAGATATTTGAAGGATATGTGAGCTCCTCACACAATCCAGTCGGGTTAAAACCAGGATGGATCGCAGGCCAGTCTGAATGTTTCAAGTCGGTTCAGGTGTTACTGTACCAGTCATGGAGAATTGAGGGCATGACTGTGGCCGAGAAGACCCAGAGCTTCGTAAGGAGTGAAAGGCCTGCAGATAGCTTCCACACAGCGTTAAGCAGTTGATGGAAATATAATGCCGAGTGAGACCTCTGCTACAAAAACCGGAGGTGGTTATAAGCACACTACCGAAGTACGGACACTTTTGGGGCCGTCCATAAATGACGTCACGCGATTTTGGACGATTGTTGCCCGCCCTCTAGTCATACGGCGTCACAAAAAGTCAGACCCCCCCTCAAATATGACGTCACAAATCTCTGACCCCCCCCCCCCCAAATTCTTTATAAAACATGCTTCAAATCGCTTTAAACTATTGTCATTGTAGTGCGTATTTAATGTGGTGTTGTCTATATTTATTTAAAGTTGCGCATTTTGATACGACGTCACATTTACACATCGTCACCAATGTCTGACCCCTCCCCCCCCCCTAGGTGCGTGACGTGATTTATGGACGGCCCCTTTCCACTCTTTTCCACAACTTCCCCATCGCTCATAGTGGGTTGAGAGGGTGGGTGGGCTATTTGATGACACAGACTACTAAGGCGGGTTCGTTGTAGCGAAGCTGATGGTGAGGCCCTCCATCTTAGTGGCACCTTCCAGGTTCAGCAGCAGCGCCTCCAACTCCTCAAGGTGAGCAGAAATTGCCAGATCATCTGCAAACCTCGCATGGTTGACCAATTGTAAAACCATCCCTTAACCACACTCAGGCATACATGAGCCATTGCATCTGTGCTGAATGTGAAGTCCAGTCTATCCTTTATAACTGTTGGGACAAACGCTGTCGGCGAGTAGCGGCACCCACGAAGGCCAGCACGGCCTTCATGGGCGGCCAGCACCACGCCCGGTTGACGTCGTCTCCTCAGTGCTGAAGGTCGCACACCGCACCAGGTACTCGTTTACAGCTGAGTCTACTTAGGAGGCGTCCACGACCAGTTTAGATATATACCGCTCGCCACTGATGTTAGCCGTGGCTTGGAGTCGAACTCGGGAAGCCGCCAGGTCTATGGCGCAGTGCGCACACCGCTGCGCCACCACTCCTCCAGGGCAGCGGACACAATGTCACGTGATCCTCACTCCCTGACATCTCGCTACGAGCGCGCGAGGAAGGTCGTGCATTCGGAACGCGCCGATTAGACCGGCCACGCACAGCACCGCGGGTGTGGATAATTACGGATTGATGATTGGTAAACCGAGGGGGGAAGGGCTACCGGGGGGGGGGGGGGTGGAAATCTCATGACACGGATCACTTCGTCATCCTCATTCCACCGTCTCAAAGACGTCTGGCCAGCGTGGAAGAGAAGGCCAAATACAGAACCCTCCGGAGATCTCCCTCTAGCCGTAGGGAACTTCCGCCAGCAGCGGCGTGAGCAAGGGACTTGCTAGGGCTGCTCCATTGCCTTCACATGCATCCTCACGTCCAGTGGGACGTGAATTCTATTTTGTCGCTGATGGACGCGAACCCACGGCGAGTCATTTGCCAGCCAGCGACCTGACCCAGAGAGTATTTTGTTTGATATAAATACCGAATCCATAATGAAATGGGCCGCCTCTGTGCTCCCGCCCCCTGCACGGAGGGGATTGGGCGAGCGACCTTCGGCCGAGTCCCAGCGGCCCGCCTCGCCAGGACGTCTCGGGGTCTCCGCTTCCATCGGCCAGGCGCGTTGCCATGTGGTCAGAGGGAGACGCGTTTCTTGAATCGAGCGAGGTTTTATAGGTTTCTAACGCGTGGGCCTTCGCTACCAATAGTGTCTAATAAGCTCTGGGTCTTCACGACTTCCTCACACTTCTGGCAACAGCAACACAGATTCGCGCGATGAAGCTGGTTGTCATCACCAGCGAAACGTCTCAGTACCCACATTGTAAATGCTGCGGGTTTACTCGCCAACACATCGGTGTGCTGAAGTCGTCACTGACTGGCGCGTGCTGGTTAAGTGACAAACCTTACTAATTGGCTGTGTCGGGTGGTGGCGGGTTTACGACCCATTTATCTGCACGCGATCTAGCCCCAAAGACCCTTCATTACCGAGGTTCCAGGACCTCGGCCTGAGAGCAAATCACGTAGAGCGCCTCGGAGCTCGTCAGATCTCGAGAGCTCAGCGGGGTTGAGCCTGGAGAGCGCGAGGACGGGACGAGCTCCACGCGTGCCTCGCTGCCGCGGGCGGCTGCGAGGAGAGAAGCGAATCGAGAGCGACGCGAGAGCCACGCTGCTCGCTGCGACGTAAACTCCCGCAGAGCGGGCGCACTCAGCAGGCACGCGCGCGGAGCCTCTTCCCACGACAGCCCTGCCCTGCCTCCCCTGCCCCCCTCCCCATGCCTCCCCCTCCCCTGCCTCCCCCCCCCTCCCTATGCCTCCCTCTTTCTCCCACTCCCCCTTACCTCCCCATCCCTCTACCTCGCTGGGCCCGCGGTCGAGCCTCACGACGGAGCTGCAGCCAATGGAGGGAACGCAGCGCTCAGCGCAGATTGGAGAATTTTACAAATCTCGGCGTGATCCACCAATCCCTGCCTCCAAGCGGCGGGTCACGCGGGCCACGCCGAGTCGATAGGATGACGGAGTCGGGTTTTTTTTATTCACCGTAAACCGATACCTGGCAGCACGCGGCGGCGCGCCGAGCACGAATGCACCGCGCTCGGATGGCCGCGCATGCCTCGCCTCCCACGCACCCTCTCGAGAAGAGGATGCGCTCCCCCACCCGTCTCCTGCGCTGCACCAAACGCCGCCCCCGTCTCCACCCCCTCGCTCTCTCCACCCCCCTCGCTCTCTCCACCCCCTCTCTCTCTCTCTCTTGCCCGCTCTCCTTCACTCGCTCTTCTCTCCGTCTCTCTCCGCTCTCTCCATCTCCCCTCCCGCACTCTCAGCCCCTCCCTCTCTCTCCCCTCTCTCCCCCCTCTCTCCCTCCCTCTCGCCCCTCTCCCTCCTGCAGACGCTTGCCGTGTGTGCCACATGCGCACTCCGCGCCCGCGACTGCGGCTGTGTGGTCGCGCCTCCTGTGTGTGTTTCTGCATTCTGTGCGGAGCGGTGGCGCAGTGGTTAGCGAACAGTGCTACGAACCTGGCGACCCGAGTTCCACTTCCGCTCACAGCCAACATTGGTTACGATTATCGGAACCGGTCCTGGGCCTCCCCTAGGTCGACTGAGCCTCAAATGAGTACCTGGACCTGTGCGTAAACATTGCCACGTGGGAGACAAAGGCAGCCGGGCGTGGTGCTGGCCACCGGCCTCTCGTGTGCCATGCCGGCCTTTATAGGTGCCCTCGAACAGCACTTGACCCAATAGCCTATTAAAGACTACACGGGAGACCTGTGTCTTTGTGTGCTGTGTGATATAATGAGCATTGCCATCAGCCATGATCAATCCACAGCTGGATGGAGACCTTCTCTAAGCAGTGACTACGTCTGCGTGTGTAGCGTAGCAAGAGACTGAACACTCGGTGAGAACCTGGTGTGTGGGTATGGTGGTGGTGGGGGGCGGTGTGTGTGTGGTGGGGGGCGGTGTGTGTGGGTGATGGGGGGGTGTGTGAGTTGTGGGGTGTTGTGGGTGGTGGTGGGGGCGCTGTGTGTGTGTGGTGGGGGGCGGTGTGTGGGTTGTGGGGGGCGGTGTGTGTGTGTGGTGGGGGGCGGTGTGTAGATTGTGAGGGGCGCTGTGTGTGTGTGGTGGGGGGCGGTGTGTGGGTTGTGGGGGGCGGTGTGTGTGTGTGGTGGGGGGCGGTGTGTGGATTGTGAGGGGCGCTGTGTGTGTGTGGTGGGGGGCGGTGTGTGGGTTGTGGGGGGCGTTATGTGTGTGGGTGGTGGGGGGCGCTGTGTGCGTGGTGGGGGTGGCTATGTTGGTGGTGGTGAGGGGTGGTTGTGTGGGGGGTGGGGGTGGCTGTGTGGGTGGTGGTGGGGGTGGCTGTGTACGCGTGGGGAGAGAGAGAGAGAGTGTGGGCGGGTGGTGGTGGGTGGAGACTGGGAGGAGCGAGAGAGACAGCGAGAGAGAGAGAGAGCGTGGGAGAGCAAAACGCGAGGAACAAGGACAAGAGCCGCAACCCTTGCACGCAGAAGAAGAGGTCATCATCATCGTCGTCACTATCGCCATTCACATCTTCTCATCGTCACGCGAGGACGACGCGGAGGGGGTCGCCACGCCGTTGCAAACGAACGACGACTCCGCCAACGAATGACTCCATCGCTACATCGACCGCTTCGTTCAACGTTGCTCCCCGATTCATTCCTCGGGACGCGAGCTGCATTGGGGATGGAGACTCCGCCTCACCCATAGCCGCAGCTGCTGCCACCGCTGCTGATGCTGCAGCCGATGCTGCTGCTGCTGAGGACGCAGGGCGCGCCCGGCGCTGCTCACGGCGAGTGAGTGATGCACCCTGGGCCCCAGTGGACCGGGAGACGGAGGAGGAGGAGGCGGCGGCGGATCGGTGGGGCCGTCCACGCAGCATGAACCCCGCGGGGACCCCTCGCCGCCAAGTGACGCGGCCCCTGTCCCCCGCGAGACCCCGGGAGGCGGGGGCCGCCCCGCGATCAGTGCTGACCCCGGGAACGGGGTCATCCTCGGGCTCATTGCTGCGCACCTCGCTCCGGGGTCAAGTTCTCTCCCGGGGTCACGCTGGGCCTGCCCGCGGGGGTCTTGGTGCTGCGTCATCTGTCAAGGGCAGCGGTTCTGGATTGTCAACCGCCGCCACCGCCACCACCGCAGCGAGCCACGCGAGTCGCGGTGGGACTCCCATCCCAAGACGGGTTCCTCCCGTGGGCAGCGCGAGCAGCAATGGGGGCAGCGGTGGAGGAGCAGCGACGAAGGCACCTTCGCGAGCTAAGGGCAGCAGCAGCAGGGCTCACACGGGCCGGGCGACTGCGGGCGGCCGCCACGAGTTGTGGGCAGCAGGGGCAGCGGGAAGGGCAGCGGCCGGGAAAGGAGGAGGAGGCGGCGGAGGCGCCGCAGATAGTGGTTCCGATGTTTCGGACTCACCCCCCTCCGAGCCACTCTCTGACGAACTGCGCCCCAACGCGGGCCCCGAGAGCGACGTGGAGTCACTGGGGGGGTCAAGCGAGCCAGAGACGGTGAGAGCCGCGGTCGAGAGCGGACCAGCATCAACAGGGGCAGCTGCAGCAGGGGCAGCAGCAGGAGCAGCAGCAGCGGGCAGCACGAGGAGAGGCGGCGCGGAGGGAGCGGCGATCGATGGGGATGCGGCAGCCTCAGCTGCGTCGTGTGGGAGAGGAGAGGGGCGGGGGTGAAGGTGGGGGGGCCTGTAGGAGCCGAGGTCGTCAAGGCGCCGTCTGGCAGAGAGACGGGGGCGATGGCGTCGCCGGCGCGTCCGGGAAGCCCGGGCGCTCTGCAGGAGCTGATGAGAGACCTCGACGAGATGCGGTCCGAGAACGCGTACCTCAAGGTGCGGGCTGCCACGGGCACTCGCTCGCTCGCTCACTCACGCAATCACAAACACAAAGATCACCCGTGTAACCTAACACACTGTTGGGACAAGTGCACGTGAAGGCCGACACGGCACGCGAGGGGGTGGGTGTCCAGCACCACGCCCGGCCGCCTTTGCCTCCCTCGTGGCGATGATTACACACCACAGAAGGTAGTAATTTGAGGCTGAGTCGACCTAGGGGAGGCCCAGAACCGGTTCAGTTATTCGTCACTAAACTACCGCTCCACACACACTCACTCACACACTCACTAAAACACTCACGCAATCAGTCACACACTCACTCACTCACACAATCACACACTCACTAAAACACTCACGCAATCAGTCAGAGGCGCGGCACGGTGGTGGCGTCGCTGCCGCAAACTTCATTCGCCTCCCGCGTGGGCACGAGACGAGATCGGAGATATTCCGCCCCTCGGCCTTCACCACTCAACGTCATCATCATCACCACGATTATCATCAGCAGCAGCAGCAGCATCATCATGATCATAGGCATCGCCAGTAGCTGCATATGATCATCAGTATCCAACATAAATCATCATCACGAGCTGCTGGACCATTATAATCATCGTCATCGCCGGCAGCAGGATTATTGTCACCGCCACCATCTTTACTGATAACAGCACGTCATCGTGCTGCCCCTAGGTCCACTCAGCGTTAATTGCGTCTTCAGTCCAGGGTGTAAAACACCAGCACCGGGGCGTGGTTGTGACCGGACACCACGAGCCGCGTGCGTCGTGCGGCTTTAATAGGTTCTCGCTGACAGCAGTGACCCCGACGATCTGTGTGGGATGCACCAGCGATGTTTAGTCCTGAGCATGATGCCGGCCTGTCCCGCTCGCTTAGAAACATCGCGTGAGGTGCTGCTGGGTCGACTGCAGCTCGTCCAGAACACGTCTGCTAGAGTGCTTCATGCACACACACACTCATCGTGTCGCGAGCACACAACATCATCATCATCACCACACATCTGCTCGATAGTGTCTGCACTGGCTAGCAGTCAGGTACCGAGTGGACTCTAAGATGCTGTTGCTGCTCACCGAGAAGGCTCCGTCGGAGGCTTGGCGCCGTAGTCTCTACAGCCACTGCTCCGTACCAGGTCGCTGAGAACTTTGCGTCTTCTAAGATCTCCGAGGTCGAGGCTCTGTTCCTGTGGTGGTCGGGATTTTGCCACTGCAGCCCCCAGACTATGCATCTGAGGTTGAACTGCGCGCTAGCAGCGCAAATTATTAGCATCAGCATCGGCCGGAGCGTGACCACATCTGGAAGCGGTTGACCTCCAATAGCGCGTGGCAGCTGCGCATAGCGAAGGGATTGGGGCAAGGCGACATCCCCCCCCCGATCCTCGCGGAGACAGAGAGTCACGGGCTCGCTGCAGCTTTCCCGGCTAAACACCACGGCGACCTAATTAGCATTCGCGTGCATCTGTCACGACAGGAAGTCACGTGGGCTTGATGGCACCGCGCTCACTTGGGCCGTGGCCTTGCCGCCCTCTCCCGACGGTGTAGGGTCCTCCCATCGCTTGTGACCTCCATCTCATTGTGATGATCATCAATCCTCCTCGTCCACCTCCTCCTCAACAACTCATCCTTCTCTTGCGCCACCATGACCGTAACTACCGCCTCCTCCTCCGTCTTCATCGCTACACCTCTCTTACCGCTCCTCCTCGATACCATCAAAATCTCCTCCTATATCCCTACCCCCAAAACCAACTCATCCTCGTAACCATCTCCCCTCCTCCACCTTCCTCCTTACCCTGTCCCCTTCCTCCTCCTCTGCCACCCCGAACCATTCCTTCAACTGCTCCCCACCCATCACCTCCGACTCTTCGCTGACTCCCCCCCTCCACCATCCCACCAACCGCAGGACGAGCTGGAGGAGCTGCGCGCCGAGATGGACGAGGTTCGCGACGGCTACCTGGAGGAGGAGGCGCGCCAGGTGCGCGACCTGCGGCGCGAGTTGGAGCGCGCGCACAAGACGTGCCGCATCCTGCAGTACCGCCTGCGCAAGGCCGAGCGCAAGGGCGCGCGCGCCGCGGGCGCGGGGCCCGGCGGGCAGCCCGAGGTGGACGTTCTCATCAGCCTGGAGCAGGACCTCAAGGTGACGGGGGCTACGGTGGGGCGGAGAGCTGGGTGGGGGAGGGGCGGTAGCGGAGGGGGGAGGCGTGGGGTGGGGTGGGGGAGATTTGGATCAGAATCGGAATGTTTATTTATGCGGGAGAGGAATCCGATGAGCTATTGAGCTCTTCTTCACAGATGTCCAGTAGGGGCGGGTAAGGACGTTACAAAAGCAAAGATTACCAAAAACGATCGGGGTGCAAAGTTTATGAAAGGTAAACGAATAACTTGAAAACTACAAATATATATATTTTTACTTATCAGGTAAAACGCAGCGAGGTGTAAACATATTTTGCGGAAGCAACCTAGCCACAAATGACAGCTCAACAACGTGGCCTATCACGTGGAAATGTCAAGTAAGAAGATTAGTTAAATAATGGGATGGGCAGCGGCAGTGACATTTCAGAGAGAGCCAGGCGACTGAAGGCTGTGTGACCTCAAGGCGAGAGAGGCCGGGATAGAGGTCAAGGTCAAGTCAGTTCCAGCACCCCCACCTCTCTCTCTCTGCCCCCCCTCTCTCTCTCTATTTAAGGCCTCGACACAGAGGCGTTGTGTCTCTGTGTGTCTCTCTCTGTGTGTCTATGTGTGTGTCTATGTGTGTGTCTCTCTCTCTGTGTCTGTCTGTGTGTCTCTGTGACGAGACCACGCCCACTCTGTGACGCGCTCGAGTCACCCTCCCTGCGAGTGATCCAGGTCACCCGCTCTGAGTGATCTAGAGACGCACTCCTAAAATCACGCTCCAAGTTTTGATCACTAAATCGCGGGATACCAAAGTGGCTAAACCACCTGGCGGCATCGTCCCCCCCTACCTGAAGCTCATCAGCCCATCCCGCACCCCCTCTCCCCCCCCAGCGTGCAGGCGGCCACGAGGCGACACGAGGGGGTGGAGTCGCTCGCTCGACGCTTCCACGGCGCACCGCGGACGCGGTCGTGGATTTGTCACCTGGGGGGGCAGTGGTGGGGGGGGGGGCAGGTTGAGTGCGGGAGCCTTCCCCGTCTGTCTCCGTGGGTAATTGGGGTCAGGGTTGGAGTCGAGGTGACATGGAGACATCGACCCCCCACTCCACTCCACTCCCCCCTCGATAGCCGGGAGGTTCCGTATCGCCGCGCGGTTTCACTTCCCCATCGATGTCCCGGGGAGGTGACCTCGGGTCACCTCCTCCATCCCTTCACGCGTGGTCGCGGTGGCTCCCTCTCACCCGTCGTGTCTCTGTGGCCACGTGTTCGGTCTCAAGGCGGTGCTGGCCACCCACCCCCGTGCCGGCCTTCATCGGTGCTACTCCCTACCAGCACTTGCCCCAACCGTCTGCTAAGGCTATACCGGGGAACTTTGCTTTTGTCATTGTCAAGGTGGGAGGTCGGCTGGGATAGCGAAGGGTTGATGCGAGCTTCGACTCTCGCACACTCTCACACCCAAAGACAAAGATTCCCCGTATAGCCTTGACAAACTCTTGGGGCAAGTGCTGCACGGCACACGAGGGGGTGGGTGTCCAGCACCACACCCGACCGCCTTTGTCTCCCTAGTAGCGATGTGTACACAGCGTACCAGGTACTCATTTGAGGCTGAGTTGATCTAGAGTAGGCCCAGGACCGGTTCTGGTAATCGTCGCCGTTGTTGACCGTGAGTGGGGTTCGTAGCACAGCGCGTTAACCGCTACACTACCGCTCCCCTCTCTCACACTCGCACACATTCACCGACACCCGCCATTTGCCACGAAGTGGCGGTGACGTCACCATGGTACTTGTGCCAGGCCAGGTGCACTTTGAGGTCGTCACGTGAAGTGTCGAAGTCTCGCTGGCAGGAGGTCACGGGACAGACCCAGGTGCCCACGGGTTGACCGACTGAGATGACTCCTGGCAGACGCACCAGCTGTACCCCGACTGCCCTCTCACGCCCTCTCGCTCACTCTCCCACCCTCTCTCTGGCGCTCTCCCCCGCCTAGGTGGCCAAGGACGTGTCTGTGCGCCTGCACCGCGAGCTCGAGAGCGTGGAGGAGAAGCGCGGCCGCGTGGAGGACGAGAACGAGGCCCTCCGCCAGAGCCTCCTCGAGCTGGAGATCAGCAAACAGGCGCTCAGCAACGAGCTGGAGCGCACCAAGGAGGTGACACTCACACACACACTCAAAATCAATCACTCACACACTCACAATCATTCACACACTCACAATCACTCACACACACACTCACAATCACTCACACTCACTCACACACTCACACTCTCACTCACACACTCACTCTCACACTCACACACTCACTCACACACTCACAATCACTCACAATCACTCACACACTCACTCACACACTCACAATCACTCACAATCACTCATACACTCACTCACACACTCACAATCACTCACAATCACTCACACACTCACTCACACACTCACAATCACTCACAATCACATCACTCACAATCACACACACACTCACTCACACACTCACAATCACTCACACACTCACAATCACTCACACACTCACGCCCTCACCCACAATCACTCACAATCAATCACTCACAATCACTCAACAACAACCACCATTCGCCACTAAGTGGCGGTGACGTCACCACGACGCTAGTTCCAGGCCATGTGCACCTTGAGGCCACGTGAAGTGTCGAACGCCCGCTGGCAGGAGGTCACGGGGCAGACCCAGGTGCCACAGGTCGACTGACTGAGATGACTGAGATGATGCACCACCTGTGTCGACTACCGTGTCAACTTGCTGTGTTTAAGCCGCCCGGTGCACCGCTCGTTGTTGTGAGCGTCGCTCCTCCGTCCTTCGGAGGGTGACTGCCTCCAACTGCCCAGTAGCGTCCTTCACGAGCCTCCTCCACAGAGGCCGATCTTGACACCGCTGGTACCAGTCATCGGCAAGTCCACTCAGCTCCGCATCCTCTTGTACCACATCACTCCATATCTTCTCTAGCCCGTGCCGCGCCTGTTTTCCCCCCTCTATCCGTCCGAACAAAACCTGTTTAGGCATGCGGTGGCTGAGCATTTGGGCTACATGACCCAGCCAACGCAGCCTTGCCTGCCGGAGGAGCTCACCAATGGGACTTTGTCCAGATCTTTCAAGGATTTGTGAGCTCCTCACACAATCCAGCCTGGTTAAACCCAGGATGAATCGTGGGCAGGCCCGCCTAAATGTTTCTAACCGGCGAAAATGTTCCATTAGGGGCGTCCACGTTTCACAAACGTAGAGAAGGGAGGGAATGACTGTGGCCGAGGAGGCCTGAAGCTTCGTGTGGAGCGACAGACCAGGTAGCTTCCACACAGCGTTATGCAACCGATGAAAAGATAATGCCGCTCGACTGATTCAGAGTGAGACCTGTGCTGTCAAACCGGAGCTGGTCATGAGCACACTGCCCAGGTATGGGAAACTCTCCACTCTCTCCACAACTGCGCCATCACCAATTGGGAGTTGTGGGGATGGAGTGTCTGATGGTACAAAATACCCAGGCAGGTGCTTAGTTTTGGTGGAGCAGATGGTAAGGCCCCACCTCTTAGTTGTACGCTCCAAGTTCAGCAACAGAAACTCCAACTCCTCTGAGTGAGCAGCAACTACCAAATAATCGGCATACATAACATGGTTGACCAAGAGGGAGCCATCCCTTGACCGCACCCATTGTATCTCTACCAGATGGAAATTCCTCCGGTACAGCTATTGAAGGCTTCACGAACTACGTGGTCGAAATAGATGTTAAATAATGTGGGAGCCAGATGACATCCCTGTCGCACCCCAAGGTGAACAGGGAATGGCTCTGACTCCCAGCCACGTAGTTTTACTCAGGTCCGCTAACCATCATGAAGGTCCTTAATGCCTGGCAAGGTGATGTTTAATAATCCTTGCCAGGACCTTTCCCGGTACACTGAGGAGTGAGATTCCCCACTCACTCATACTTACTCACACACATTCGCTCATACTCACTCATACACAAAAACAAATACAAAGATCTCCCGTATAGCCTGAACAGACTGTTGGGGCATATACTGTTAGCGAGCGCCTATGAAGGCCGGCACAGCACACGAGGGGGTGGGTGGCCAGCATCACGCCCGGCCGCCTTTGCCTCCATAGAGGCGATGTTTACACATCGCACCAGGTACTAATTTGAGGCTGAGTCAAACTAGGGGAGGCCCAGGACCTGTTCTGATAATCGTCACTGAATTTGGCCGTGAGTGGGAATCGAACTCGGGTTGCCGGGTTTGTAGCGCAGCTTAGCGCTAACCGCTACACTACCGCTCCCCACTTATACACACTCATATTCACTCACTCACTCACACTCACTCACACTCACTCACACACTCACCAATACCAACACCCGACATTCGCCAGAAAGTGACGGTGACCTCACCATGGCATCTGTGCCAGGCCAGTTGCCCTTTGAGGCCACGTGAAGTGTCGAAGGCTCGCTGACAGAAGGTCACGGGACTGACCCAGACGCCATGGGTTAACTGACTGAGATGACTGGCTGATGCACCACCTGTGTCCTCTACTGTGCCAACTTGCTGTGTTTTAGTTCATTGCTGTGAGCGTCGCTCGTCTGACCTTCGTTGTTGTTGGAGGGCGACTGCCTCCAACTGCTCAGTAGCAGCGTCCTTCACGAGCCTCTTTAATAGAGGCCGATCTTGACACCTCTGGTACCAGTATTCAGCAAGTCCACTCAGCTCCACATTCTTCCATGTCGCATCAGTCCATCTCTTCTCCAGCCCGTGTCGTGTCCGTTTAGCCCCCTCGATCCGTCCAAACAGAAGCCGCTTCAGCATGCGGTAGTTGGGAATGCGGGCCACATAACCCAGCTAGACTCACACACTCACACTCACAAACAAATACAAAGATACCCCATGTAGCCCATATAGCCTTTAAATTAATGTTAAGGCCAGTGTTATTAGTGAGCACCTATGAAAGCCGGCACGGAACACGAGGGGGTTGGTGGCTAGCACCACGCCCGACCGCCTTTGTCTCCCTGGTGTCGATGATTACTCACTGCACCAGGGAATCATTTAAGGCTGAGATGACCTAGGGGAGGTCCGGGACCGGTTCAGATATTCATCACCGATTCTGGCTTTAAGCGGGTCGCAGCGCGGTAACCACCACACTTCCGCTCCCCAAATCCAACCATAACCCCCCCCCCACACACACAGCTAGTGCAGTGCAGACATTGGTCTAACACCCAAGTGCAGACATTGGTCTAACACCCAAGTGCAGACGTTGGTCTAACACCCAAGCGCAGACATTGGTCTAACACCCAAGTGTAGCAGGACCCTCCTGAACATGAGCCACGAGTAAATGGACAAATGGCAAGATCGTGATCATTACTAATTATAATTAGCCTTCGTGTCAAAGGCCACTGTTATTAGCACACGCATACGTATTTGTACGTGTGTGTGTTATCACCACACACACACACGGATGCATCCGTGGAGTGTCATCGCTCTGCGTTTTGTTCATTTTAGTAACTGGGGCGTGATTTTTGCAGCCGGTGCGATATCTCGACGGCCCCCCTCCCCCATCCCTCCGTGCCTCCGCCCCCCTCCCCATCCCTGGAGCCAGTCTCTATCGCGTCTCCCTCCCTCTCTCAGTCTTCCTCCTCACCCCCCATCCCCACCCCCCGCTCTAAGCTTCGCACTTAGGGTCACCGCAACGTGAAGGGGGTCGAGTTGGCGGTGGGGTCCGGGGATAATTAAAGCCCTCAGCACGCTCCCCGCCGAGGGAGACACACCTGGCTGACCTTCCTCCGATTGCCCAACGAATGCGTTAGAAGGTCGCACTCGTTACAGCACGCACGGTGAACTTCCTTCGCACCGTGTGTAGGCGGCTGTGCGAATCGGAGGTTAGCACAACGTGGTCGTCACAAGCGAACCGCGGTTCCTCACTGATCTCGACATCGAGCACAGGCCATCATCATCATCACCACCGCCAACTCCGCTGGGCAACCTCGCATCGGCTGCTGGCTGCTCGACATCGGACAAAGGCGGCGGTCACCGCATCGCCATCGCCATCATCATCATCGCGCGTGTTCAGACGCGCTTCTGCGGCCGTCTGGAACGCTCTTCCTTCCGATATTAGGAATCCACTGGAGCAACGCACTTTTAAATCATCATCATCATCTAGATTGACACACTCATTTCTTAGAGCTGTTTCTTGTATTTAGTTTGTTGTCCTTTCCCCCGCACGGTTGGCTACGTACGGTGCAAAAGAAGTTCAACACGCAGACATTTTCCGCGGGCCGACGAGAACCATCGCTACCATTAGCAGCGCAGCTCACAGGCGGCAGCCGGCGATGAGCGTGCGATCTTCCTCACTGCTCACATCGTCGGCATCGTCATCAGCATTCTGTCAGCCGTGCTCAATCCACTGCTGGATGGGGGCTTCCTCCCACAAGCCGTTGCCATGCCCCCACGAGGCAACGACGGATCCGCCCAGCGCCCGCGCCACGAGCCCATTTCAGTCGCTCCGTCTCCCAACAGGGGACGTGGTGTCACGGACGCCGCGTTCTAGCCACATAAACATTGACTAAGCTAGAGTCTGGATATTATGTACGCAATAAAAAAATATATATAATCTAACAGTAATTCTCAATCCACTGCTGGACATGAAAGCGTTCTGACGCCGTGTCGTTGGTCGGCGTTGTTTGACCATACTTCACCACGCCGGTCACTGCGGGTTGGTGCAGGCGGGGAGGCGTGGTGAGTTTGGTGCTCGCCCCTCCCCCCCTCCCGTCTCCATCCCTCTCGCTCGCCCTGTTTCCCCGGCAACGCGTCGCCATGGCGACCCGTCACCCTGGCTACCTGGGTAACGGGGTGCGGATGACGAGGTCCCCGTCGTAAATCACGGGACCGTGGGCGGAGCTGGGATGCCTTCCAATTACGCGACGCGAGGCAGTGAAACGCGCCCCCAAGAAGCACGACCACCGCGGGGAGATGGAGCGATCGGAGCAGCAGCAGATCGCGGGCAGGCGCTGGGCGCATTGCGACATCGCAAGAGGTGGCCAGCGCCTTGGGGGGGAGGGGTCCATGTTCAGTAGCCAAGGGGGGGGGGGGGGGGTCCATGTTCAGTAGCCAAGGGGGGGAGGGCATGTTCAGTAGCCAGGGGGGGTGGGCAGCTGTAAGTCTTTCCACTGACGTTCCCACGCCTGTGGGGGTATTGGAGGCTGGGGGGTGGGGGGGGTACCCCCTTCAGTCTCGGCAATGCCACGGGGGGTCGAGGGGCTGGGAGCGGCGGCGAGGCGCAGGGCTCCCGCCTCTGACATTCGTGGACCCGCAAGCCCCGCCCCGCTAGCCCCGCCCCGCTAGCCCCCCTAGCCCCGCCCCCCTAGCCCCGCCCCGCTAGCCCCGCCCCGCTAGCCCCCCTAGCCCCGCCCCGCTAGCCCCGCCCCGCTGCTATTTGGGAGGTGGCGCGCGCCGAGTCGTCGGTGTCGGGTGCTCGACACCCACGGCGGCGGGCGGGGGGAGGGGGGCGGGGGGCGGGGGGAGGGGGGCGGCGGGCGGGGGGAGGGGGGCGGGGGGCGGGGGGAGGGGGGCGGCGGGCGGGGGGAGGGGGGCGGGGGGCGGGGGGAGGGGGGCGGCGGGCGGGGGGAGGGGGGCGGCGGGCGGGGGGAGGGGGGCGGGGGGCGGGGGGAGGGGTCGCCCACGTGGGCGATGTAACGTGATCACGCGCACAGACGTAGACTCGTCATGCCGATCGATCCACTGCTGGATGAGGGCCTCCCGTCATCGAAGCGCGGTTTCTCCTGCCGCACCGTGAAGCATATCGACCATACTTCACCAGGCTGGTCCGTGCGGGTCGGTGAAAGGCGGGGAGCAAAGACGTGGGAGCATTGAAGTAGAGTACAACAGTGGAAGTTGCTGCACTGCCGTCTGCTGCCCACCCCCAGCGGTATCCAGGAGGCTCAGAGCGGCTCAGCTCCCCGAGGAGGTGCGAGAAGATTTGGCGAACTTTGTTCGCGGGCGATGGAACACGACTGATCGATTGAGAGCGATTCCTCCCGCTCACGATACGCGCTACGACCGCTCGCCGGCCGCTCGCCTGCGATTCGTGCAAAGTGCGCGCGAAGCAGTGACGCTCGCCGTGACATTCGCAGTTTCAGACGCGTAACGGCGTGACGCGATTCGAGGCGATATTCCATTGCGTAATCGAAACTCCGCCGGCGAATCGTGATTATTCATCGAATCGTCGCGCGAGTCCACGGGGGGGCGGGGGGGGCAGAGTGGCCACGTGGCCGCTCCGAACTCATGCGCGTCACAAGGGGGGACGTGACGTCGACGCACCGCGAGGGATAAATGAGCGGTGACGCGGCGCCCAGGGGCGGAGCCGATTGGCCGCGATGTTTTAATCAGGGTGCGGTCTCCCTGCGCGTCTCGAAATAGATCCAGCTCACATTGATCCCCAAACAAGACCACTCTCCCTCTCTCTCACCCACCCACACACCCACCCACCACCCCACCCACCCACCTCCCCCTCCCGCACCTCACCCTCCCCCCCCTCCCGCACCTCACCCTCCCCCTTATGCCCTCGCCTCCAATCCCTCAAATCCCCCTCCACCCCCAACCATCCCCTTCCCACCCCACCCAGCCCTCTCTCCTGCCCCCTCCCATCCATCACTCTGCTCCCCTCAATGCCCTATGCCGTCTGCATCCTTTCAATCCATCCCCTCCATCTCCTCTCCGCTCGCCTTCTCCCATGCTCCCCACTCCCACCTCCCCCCACTCCTAACGCAGCCCCCCCCTCCCCCTTCTCCCCCTTCCCCCTCGCCCGCGGGAGCCGCGAGTGGTAGTGGCGCCCCCCCGGGGGGTATTCATAGCGCGCGGGACACGTGGCGGGGACGGTAGCAGCAGCAGCGGCAGCGAGCGCCGCATTAAAAATAAAACGCGCGCGTGGCGGTGGTGGCCACGTGGCAGTCACGCACCGTGAAGCCGCCACTGCCGAGCACCTATAAGTTCGATTCCCGCTCACGGCCAAAATCAGTGACGATTATATTCACCAGTTCTGGGCCTCCCCTAGGTCAACTCAGCCTCAAATGGATACTTGGTGTGTTGTGTGCAAACATCGCCACTGGGGAGAAAAGGCGGCCGGGCGTGGTGTTGGCCACCCACGCCCTCGTGTGCCGTTCCGGCCTTCGTAGGTGCTCGCCAACAGCACCTGCCCCAACAGGCTGTTCAAGGCTATACGGGGGCTCTTTGTCTTTGATCTTCGTTGCGTTTGTCCTTGCGTCGTGTGGTGCAGAACTCTGCGAGGAAGCGGGGCAGTCGGGAGCTGCACAGAGTGGCCGAGAAGAAGGGCGCGGGACAGCAGGTGAGGCCACGCACCACGTCCACCAATCCGCTCCACCATGCTCCAGCACTCTCCACCACTCTCAACCACTCAACCTTCACCTCCAGCCCCCAGCCAACACCTCCACAATCGACTTGACCCACGACTCCCATAGAGACCCACAGGCGTAAACTCAGTTGCGATTAAACCGGGTACCCAGGTGCAGCGAGTTGATGGCCTCAGTCCGGTCACCAAAGACTGCACTGACTGCTCTCTCGTGGCCTGCCCCTCCCCCCACACCCCCCACACTCCCCCCCGGCCGCCAGGAGGACAGCGCCGATCTGCGTTGCCAGCTCCAGTTCCTGCGCGAGGAAGCGGCGCTCATGCGCAAGAAGATGGTGCGAGTGGGGCGCGAGAAGGACCGCCTGGAGCACGACGTGGAGCGCTACAAGGCCACCTTCGGGGAGCTAGAAAGCCCCCCGCTGCCCCCGCTTCCCGCACCTCCGCCAGCGGCCCCCACCGCAACCACCGCCGCCTCCGGATCCGCGGGGAGCCTCTCCCAAAGGGGGGGTCCGGCTGCGGGCGCCACGGCGCCTGGGGCGGCGATGGGGGGAGCTCGGTCCGCGTCGACGGCGATGACGACGATGAAGACGACGCCGACGTCGTCGTCGGTGTTGATATCGGGGGCGACGTCCTCCTCGCTTCAGCAGGGGGGGCCAGGGGCCAGCCCGGGCCCCGGCGCGGGACCCCCGTGCGTGGAGGCGAGCGGGGTCCCGGGCTCGCGCGAGGCCGAGCTGAGGCTGAGGCTGCGGCTCGTGGAGGAGGAGGCCAACATCCTGGGGCGCAAGATCGTGGAGCTGGAGGTGGAGAACCGGGGCCTCAAGGCCGAGCTGGAGGAGGTCCGAGTGGGCCAGGTGAGTCGGGGATTTCTGCTCCTCCTGCTGCTGCTGCTGCCAGCACTGCGTCTTGCGCTTCTGCGGCCGTCTGCAATGCTCTTCCTTCCGATATTAGGAAGCCACTGGAGCTGCGCACTTGTAAATAATCTAGATTGACAAACCCGTTTCTTTGAAACTACTTTTTGCGTTTAGTCCCCAGCGCATCTGATCATCACGGTTGACCACGTATGGTGCGAAAGCAGTTCAACATACATACACCTCCCTCCCTCCCTCGCTCCCTCCCCCTCCTCCCTTCCACCCCTCCGCCTCCTCCCCCTCCTCGCAGCTCCGCGACCGGAGCTCGTGCTGCCCGGCGTCGTCTCGGCCCGGCGCGTCCCCCCCGCTCTCGGACCCCGCCTCCTCCTCCTCGTCGGCCTCCTCCGACGAACTCCGCCGCCACCTCCAGTTCGTGGAGGAGGAAGCGGAGCTCCTGCGGCGCTCCGTCGCCGAGATGGAGGAACAGAACCTGGCGCTGACGTGCGAACTGGGCCGGTCCGTGCCGTCACCACCCCCCCCCCCTCTGTGTGTGGGGGCCTTTGGGAGAGGGGGGGGGTAACGATTAGCGCACTGCGCTACGAACCCGGCGATCCGAGTTTGATTCCCGCTCACGACCAACACCAGTGACGATTATCTTTCACACCTCCAATTAGCATGGTTGGCTACGTACGGTGCGAAGTGCATCATACATTCATCTGAACCGGTCCTGGGCTTCCCCTACGGTCGACTCAGCCTCAAATGAGTATCTGATGCGATGTGAAAATATCGTCGCTTGGGAGACAAAGGCGGTTGGGCGTGATGCTGCCCACCCACCCCCTCGTGTGTCGTTTAAACCTTTATAGGTGCTCGCTAACAGCACTTGCCCCAACAGTCTGTGAAGGCTATACGGGGGACCTTTGTCTTTGGGGGGGAGGGTAGAGCCGGGTGATAAGCCGTGTTCCGACCTTCACAGGCGTCGCTCCTCCCGTGCCGCGCCCATCTGTGCACAGGTACAAGCGAGAAGGAGCCGGGGGGTCACGTGGACGGGCCGCGTCGCTGATGGAGCAGCCCCCGACGGTGAGCGACTGTGGCTGGGTGGGGGGGGCACCAACGAGTCGCACCCTCATCCACACACGGAGGGTACCCCCCCCCCCCACCCATTAGGGGTCCCCCAGTCATAACCCCCCCCCCCCCCGCATGTAAACTGCACGTTCACCTTGACCCCGGTAACCCCAACTCCCTCCCCTCTCTTCCCGACCCCTCTGCTCTCCTCCTCTCCCTTCCCATCTCATCCCTCGATTGTCTCCCCTCTCTTCCCTCCCCTCATGTGCCACGCATCCCTCATCCCATCCTTCACCCCTCCTCTCCTCCACGTCCTCCCTCCTCTCCCTTCTCATCCCCCCTCCCCCCTGTCCCTTCCTGCCCCCCTCCCCCGGTGTGAAGGGTGGTGAGGAGCGGGCGGGCGACCCCGCGGGCGACTCGCTGCGCCGGGAGTTGGTGAGCGCGCGCTGCCAGGTGGCGGAGCTGAGCGCCACGGTGTCGCGGCTCCAGCGTGACAACCACACACTCACGTGTGCGCAGGTGAGGACGCACGCGCACAGTTGAGAGTACAGGTGAGGGTTAGGGTGAGGGCGCACCCACCAGGTGCTCGCAGCCCGTGCTAATGAACAAAGTGTCAACGTCTGAGCGATTTCTGGTTACTTGAGCATTGAGAGCGGTTCCTAACTCTCGTTTACAGCTCCGAAACAGTTGTGGAAATTCCACATTCTTATGACAGGGGTGAGTGTATCCATAGCCTGCCATTTAACGCGGGCCACATCTATAAATCATACAACGGATGCCCCGTGTCTCACGCTCGCCCCGTCGTCCCCCACAGAACTCCGGCGAGGGCCATGGAGACGCGGACGCCGGCGACGGGGATGCCGATGGGGACCCTGCGAGGGATCGACCCCCCCAGCACCGGAGGGAGGGGCCCGTGGGGGGTGAGAGTGGAGCCGACGAGAGCTGCCCCTGGGAGAGTAAACCTAGCCTGGCACGCATCGAGGTGCGGTGGAGAGTTCGTCGTGTTCTCTCCTCATTGTCATCGTCATCGTCAACCATCATTCATCAACTACTATCCCTTATCATGATTGTTATCATAATTCACCTTTCGTCATCATCATCATCATGCGCCACCCATCACTGCGAAGGCCACTTTTCTAAAACGTCGACACGACGCCTCCGCGCCTCTCTGACCTCTCGCCAGGCTGCTGACCCCAAGCCGTCCACGTGCCCCTCCGCGCCGGGCCCGCTGCCCCCACTCGACGGGGGGGCGGCCCCCGCGCTGCCGCTGGACCCCGTCACGCGGGCGGCGCTGCGGCGCGCCTCGGAGGTGCTCAAGTCGGCCGTGGACCGCTTCATCGAGGAGAGCGAGCGGGCGGCGGGGGCCGCGGCGCAGGGCGAGGCGCTGCAGGGCGCGCGGCGCTCCATGCGCCTGTTCCGGGAGGAGCTGTCCGGCTTCCTGGAGAAGGTGCGCGCCGCCGAGGGGCTCGGCGACTCCACGGGCGTCTCCTCCTCCTGCTGCAGCCCCTGGCTCGCGCCTTCCTCGTCGGCCTCCTCCTCCTCCTCGCCACAGCAGCCGCAGCAGCAGCCGCAGCAGAGCGACTCGGGCCTGAGCCCCGTGTCGTGGAGAGACCCCGCCTCCGACCTCACCGGGGACACCCCCACGAGCACCTTCAGCGGAGACATCACCGAGCTGCAGGTAACCACAGCACCCCCACGGAGCCCCGACAGAGTCCCGCGCAGCGCCATGGGCCCCAGCATCTCCGTTGAGACTCCAGATTCGTTAGTCCGTGAGCCAGAGCAGATGTCGCCGGACGCGAGCCTCCCGTTTAGGCTTCTCCCCGGTTGGCTACGTGCAGTGTGAAAGAAGTTCAACGTACGTACGACCGGTGCTCTTCTGTCCTGCCGTACGAGAGGAGGAGCCAACATCGATACCAAACGGAGGCGCGCCCATTGCAGTTGTAGGGCCAATCAGAGTGAAGCGACTTTGATATCCTCACTCAATGTCACAGCGTTATCTCACACAAGCACCACTTTGTGATTGGCCACATTTCATAATTCTGAAACCGCACAGGTTGCGACACGCCACGTGGCACCACCGAGTGAGGGGCCTCCTCTGGGCCCGTGGACCGTGTGCCGAAACCCACCCAGGGGGTCTCGCTGTTGCGATGGCTGAGCGCACACAGGCTCCGATCACCACTGCATGCGCGTCCCATGACCCACAAGGAGGTTCATTTTCTACTGCATTCTGTTTCTCCTTCCTCGTTTTTCTCCTCCTCAACCTCTTCATGCGCACCCACACACGCACGCACCCACACACGCACGCACCCACACACGCACGCACCCACAGCCCCTCCTGCTGCTGCTGCTGCTTCCCCTTCTGCTGCTCATAGCGATCGCCTCCATCCCACTCGCCACCTTCTTTAAGTTGCTCTTCTTTTTCTTCGTTATCTTAGCCGCACTGTGACGGAATCGACCGTGAGAGAGGGAGAGAGATGAGAGAGAGAGCGAGCGACAGACAGTGTGAGACAGAGAGAGAGAGAGAGAGTGTGTAAAAAAATACTTTAAAAACAAAATAATCCAGCAGATATCTACGAACTAAAAACGTAGAATCCCAGCGTGTCTCCACGTACCCATCTCTGCACAACCCATCGGCCCCACGCTCTTCTGGGAGCGCATACATTGATTCAGTCCAAGCAAATCTCTGAAACCTTTTTAAACCAAGCCTCTTCGCTCGTAAGGGCACGTTGACCACCATCGTCACACCGCCACTGCTGCCACCGCGGCGGTGTGATGATGGTGGTCAGCGCGCTGGACTTGCAATCCCCGAGGGCAAGGGTTCGATTCCAGTTACACCTCCTCTGGGTCGATTAGCAGGGCGTGTGTGGTGTGGTGAAGCGTGGGTACGTCCATAGCTCCCAAGACGTCCGAACAGCGTGGAAGAGTAGGCCAAACAGCCCGTAAAGAGGCTCTAGAGGTCCCTTTGGCGGAAGCCCTTCCGCCAGCGGTAACATGGGCGAGCAATTGCGGGGCTGCGCCTTCAGCCTCTACACTTCTCGTTTTAATTCCCGGAACTCGACTTCCGCTCATATATAATCCTTTTTTTCGTCTAATTCTCGAAACATCTGTTCCTTTCACGTTACTTTCACATCACCATCATCATTATTATCGTTATCATTATTTACTTTTCACCTCCCCATTTGTGTTATGCATTTCCTCCACGGACAAACTTATAATTTATTTTATTTTGTTTATTTTCAATTTCTGTTGGGCCCCCGTGACGGCGCAGAGCGACTCGCAGAGAACGCCGCTCGCTCCGTGTCGCCATGACGACGACGCCACTGCCGCCGTAGCCATGGCGACGGCGGGAAGAGGAGGTGGAGGACCAGGGGCCGCCACCGTGGCATGCGGGGCCCCGCATCAGCTGGGCGCCAACGCCGACACGCGCACCCTCATCGCCAGCGAGGTATTGGCCATTGGATGAGTTGGGGGTGGAGGGGTGCTCAGGGGGTTATGGGGGCGATTGACATCCCCATTTGAGACCCAAAAATGGGGTTTCATTGATAATTAATAATTAATGTTTTCTCTAATTAAAAGTTTGGGATTTCGGGACTGTCCCCGGGACCGACCTTATCCCCAACCCCCCCTCCCCCCCGCTGCACCCCGACCACCCCCCTACCCCCCAATCACCACCCTCCCCACCTACCCCCCTCCTTTGAGAAGTTTCCAGCTCCGCCTCTGGGCTGATGCTGCTGTAGCCATCATGGCACTGGGAGATCACGGAGTCTGATGATGGGGAGAGAGAGCTGATGGGTCCTGTGTGCCCCGCCCCGCTCCACCCCACCCCGCTCCACCCCACCCCGCACCACCCCCCGCTCCACCCCCTGCTCCACCCCACCCCGCTCCACCCCCCGCTCAACCCCGCCCCGCCCCACCCCTCCCCGTTCTCCTTCACCCCGCCCCCGCCCCGCAGCTGCGAGAGTCTCAGGAGGTGCTGGCCGAGGCCAAGGACACCATTCGTCTACTGCAGTCACAGCTGGAGGAGGAGCGAGTGCTGCGCCACGAGGAGGCCGAGAGACACGCGGCCAGGGTCGCGCGGGTACGCGCTCCGAGGCACCCTGCACTGCGCACCCTGCCGAGGCACCCTGCACTGCGCGCCCTGTATACAAGGGCTATGCACCCTGCACCCAGCACCCTGCACCCAGCACCCTGCGCTACAAAGCCAGCACGTCGCATCCTGCACCCTCTCCTATAAACCCCGCTCTTTGAAACTAGAGCCCTGCACTATAAACCCTGCACGTACGGCCTGCACCCTTGAACCTACTGCGCACGCACAATAACCGCTGCACTCTCAACCGAAACACCCTGCGTCTCTCACCGTGCCCTCGAAAAACCCCACGAAAATGTACTCACCCCCACCCACCCCCACGCCCCTCCCCTCGCCGCCCCCCCCCCCCCCCCCGCACAGGCGAGCGAGGAGCACCACCGCGCGATGCTGCGTCGCGACTTCGAGCTGCAGAGCGCCGAGCTGGGGCTCCGCATGGAGCGGCGCGAGGCGGTGAGCACCGCGGCGGCGCTGGCGCGGGAGCTGCGCCGGCTGCACGGCGTCAGCTTCCACGCCTTCGCCGAGCTGCGGCGATTGCTGCGGCGCTGCCGTGACGGCGGCCAGCAGCAGCAGCAGCAGCAGCCCCAGGCGGCCACCGCCGCCTTGCTGGTACGCCAGGGTGGATGGAGGGTGCTGAGCGTCGAGTTCGCCAAATGTCGTCGACGGTTGATGATTGATCTGAACTGGTGCTGGATCATCCCCGGGGTTGACTCAGCTTTTAATTGAGTACCTGGTGCGGTGTGTAAAATATATATATATAAAAAATTCCCCGGGGAGACAAAGGCGGCCGGGCGTGGTGCTGGCCACCCACAGCCTCGTGTGCTGTGTTCACCTCGCTTGCAGAAATTGCCGCAGCAGTCGGGGTGATGTTTCTCTTGGCTTTGTTGAGTTTAGAGGCGGTCAAGCGGTGGGTTTGCGAGCCACGTGGCGCGCTCGCCTGTGACTTGACACCACACGTGCCGCCACGCAGGAGCTGGGAGCGGAGATGGGCGCCTCCTCCGTCACCACCACCACTTCCTCCTCCACCTCGTCGTGCGCCCACGACGAGGAGCTGTGGCTGGACGCGCTTCTGTCAGCGCGCGTGCAGGGAGAGGCGCCCAGTGACGACGGGACGCCGGTGAGCGCGGGAATCGTGGGGACTGCAATTCGGGTTTTACCCAGTCACTTGATGTGAGTTGTTTATATCATTTTTTATTTGGGCCAGCACACATAGCCTACTCTTTTTTTGAATAACGTCACGTGACCCTCTGGTTCTCTCTCTCTGTGTTTAAGGGTCTTTGTGTGAGTCTATGAGTCTATGTGGTGAGTCCTATGGGTCTCTGTGTGGTGAGTCTATGGGTCTCTGCGTGAGTCTAAGGGTGTTTGAGTAGTGAGTCGATGGGTCTCTGTGTGAGTCTATGGGTCTCTGTGTGAGTCCAAGGAAAGGGAGGAATGGAAGGGAATGGGTGAGGCTATTGCCCAGCAGTGGGAAACCAACGGCTGACAGCAGCAGCAGCAGTGCGCAGTATTAACGAGGGTGTTCTCCGGGCTCCCCGCGCGTCGCAGGAGGGCGGCGTGAGCTCCGACCCCGGCGCCGCCGTGGGCCGGGAGCTGCGCGCCGCGCTGGGCGCCGTGCGGGACGAAGTGCGCGCCGAGGAGGCGCGGCGCTGCGGCCTCGCGCAACGCTACGCTCGCGAGCGAGCCGCCTGGGAGGTCGAGCGCTCCCAGCTGCGCGCGCACGTCGCTCAGGTGTGCACGCGCGTGTGAGTGTGTACGCGTGTCAGTGTGTACGCGTGTGTGTGTACGCGTGTGTATGCGTGTGTGTGTATGCGTGTGAGTGTGTACGCATGTGTACGCGTGTGTGTGTACGTGTGTTGTGGACGTGTGTGCACATCGCGGGAGCAAGCTGGACCCTGACAGATTTGAAATTAACTTCTCGAGAACTGCTTCGTCTGCTTGTTCTTGTTGTTGTGTCTACTTTGGTGTCCCTCCAGCGCACCTGCGATTAGCACGGTTGGCTACGTACGGTGCGGAAGAGGTTCACCATACAGATGGTGAATCGATTCAACATCCCTCCGCCTCCCCACCTCCTGCCCCCCCCCCCCCCGACCCAGCTGGAGCCTCGTCTCGGCTCTCCCGCGTCCAAGCGCGGCCCGGCGGGAGCCGGCGACTGCGGCGGCAGCGGCGGGGGGCAGGGAGGGCAGGGAGGGCACGGCGAGAAGGGAGCGCGAGGAGCAGCGGCGCGCGCTCGCCGAGCTGCACGTGGCCGCGCTGGAGCTGCGGCGCCGCCTCCAGGCGGGCGAGCGCCACTGGGGGCGCGAGCGCCTCGAGCTGCTGCGGAGGTTCAGCCGCGAGCGCCGCGGCTGGGAGGCGCGGCTCAGGGAGACGCAGTGCGCCGTCGAGCAGGTGACGGGGGACGAGAGGTGCGGGGGTGGCGAGGGCGCAGGGGTGAATGCAAGGACGCGGAGTGAATGAGCGAACGAGAGGAGGCGAGGTTGTGAGGGAGGTTGAGTCCCGCTGGGTAATAATTAGAGCGCTCGTACTTCCGCTGGCCAACGCCTGACCAGCCAATTAGGACCAATTGGTGATAATTAGGGCTGCGGTAATAACATGTATTGTTTCATAGCTACAGAAGAGCGGAAAGACGGTCGTCTTGGAGGGAGAAGAGGTGGAAGCCCCGGTGCCACCGAGGGTCCCATCGGGGGTCCACAGCGGGGTCCCTTCGAGGGTCTCCGAGATGCGGAGGAGCCCCGTGCTCACAAGGAACCACTCGCTGGACGACTCGCTGTGGCGCGGCCCGTCGGGCGACTCGAGCAGAGCGCCAGTGCCCATCTGGTCCCTCGCCCCCCACCAGCAGCACCAGCAGCAGCAGCAGATCTCCCGATTTCTCGATGCTCTGACCCTCGACCTCCACCCGTGGCCGGGAGGGCGACGCAAGTCCTGCACCATCTCCCGCGGCAGGACGCTCCTGCAGAGCGACGCTCGTGGGGAGGTGAGGGGGGCGGGAGCGGGGCGGGGGTGGGGGGGAGCAGGAGGGCGGGGGGGGCGGGGGGGAGCAGGAGGGCAGGGGGGGGGGGCGGCGGGGGGGAGCCCACTCGTCAGGTTTAAGGACACGATGATAACTCCCAGCACGGAGGCACAACTCCCATAATGCCTTGATGTGTGTCACGTGACCACCGCAGCACATGTACAACGCTGACAGCGAGTCCCTGCTGCCTGATAACAAGGCCACTCGTTCAGCCCGATCCTTCTATCGAGCTTAGGCTGAGAGCATTGCACGCACAACGTGAAGCCCAGAACCAGTTGCGATTTTGGAAACACAAGAGCAGAAAAACGAGAATTGGCCAAACATCCCAATGCAGGACCCTCCCGAAAATGGATCTCGAGACGCGTATAGTGAGGATATCGAGAACAGGTAAAGGGTGCTATTATTACTGTTGGCATATGGAATGTGTTCGTCATAATATTGCCTGAAACTTTCTTGCTGCCCTGAAGGCTGATGCTGAGAAGATGATGGGAGAGGTCAACTTCCCACTCGACAAAGGCACGCTGCAACGGTGAGTGATGCCCTCATCATCATCATCCCAATCACACCACCTGCACCACCACCAGAGGGTGGTGTGGGGGGGGGGGCACGGTCGGAGTGGCGGAGGGGTCGGTCCCGACATACGACGCTTGTGAACGCAGCGTAACTCGCCTTGGCCACGACTTCCGAATGCCCAACGATCGCCCGCAAATCACCCAACCCGGGGATCAGCCTGGCAGGACCCTCCTCCTGCAATAGGAGCCTTGAGACTCGGCGAGGCTCCGCTCGGTAAACGAGCGTAACAACGACAACAAGAACAATACAAGTGCAATTAACGACCGTGGCACAAACGGCCATCGCCCCGGCCGGCCCCGTCCTCCCCCCCCCCCCCCCCCCCCCAGGGCGTGTTCCGTCTCCTCCATGGCGGAGTTCGAGGTGATGATGGAGAGCGCGCGCTCCCCGTTCCGCTCAGAGCGCCGGCGCTGCGCCCTCGCCAGCGGGGGCAGCTCGCCGGCGCTCAGCCCCGACGAGCCCCCCACCCCGCGCTCCCCCGGCGAGATGGAGCCCCCAGCCCCGGGCAAGGGGCGCCGCCCGCTGCGCCCGTCCTCGCTACCCGCCGCGCGGGACCGGCGCCTCGGTGCGACGTTGCCCGCCGCCGGCGTTGCCGGCGTCGCTGGCGTCGCCAGTCGTCGCTGCCGCCGCCGCCGCGCCGCCGCCGCTCGTCGGTGTCCAAGCTGCTGTCCAGGTGAGGCACGGCAGCCGGAACCGACGCAATCGATTGCCCAAGCTCTGGGGTCCTACATCGGGATGTTTGACCAATTCCATTCGCGTTTAAATGACGGCGACGACAGAGGCGTCAAACGCGTCACACCTCCCGACCCTCCCCCCCCCTCGTCTCCCGACCGCGCGCCACCCAGGTTCTCCGTCTCCAAGCTGTACCGCGACTCCGAGTGGGGCCGCTACTTCTATGGCCGCCGCCTCGTGGCCCGGGAGGAGGAGGAGGGGGCGGCGGCGGTGCTGGCCGCGTCCGGGGCGGCGGACGGCGCCTCCCCGTGCCTGAGCGCCGACTCGGCCTGGAACCTGAGCGACGAGATGAAGGAAGCGGCCAACGTGGGACTCTTCCCGCCGCGCGCCATCTCCCTCTCCTACTCCTCCGACACCGCCGCGTCGCCGCCCATCGCCCCGTCCCCTCCGGCCAAGCGTGCGAGCCGCGACGCGTCCTGCCAGGCGGGCCGTCGCGCCAGCGCCAACGCCGCCACCCAGACGGTCGCCATCGCCACCGCAGCCGCCGCCGCGCTAGAGGCCGGCATCCGCAGCCCGTTCCACCGCGCGGTCGTGCGGCCCTGCTGCGGGTCCGGCAACGGCCACACTCCGGTCTCGTCGCCAGCGCGCACCCCGCGCAAGACCGGTGGCGCCGCCGCTACCGCGGCGGCCGGCAAGTTTGAGCGCGCGTGCTGCTCGCCCAAGCTGGGGTCCCCCCGGACCCCGCGCAAATTCGCCGCGGCGGGGCCCCCTGGCGTGGCGGCGCGTCCCTCCGAGCCGGCCCCCGCCTGCGCCGAGTGCCACGGCGCCGGCCGGGCCCGGCACGACCCCGCGTCGCCGCGCGTCGAGCCGCGCTGCCGGAGTCGGCACGCGGACTCGTGCTGCTCGCCGCGCCCCGGCACCCACCGCCACCAGCACCGGCAGCACGGCGAGGCGGCGAGAGCGTCGCCGCAGCGGGCGTCGCGCCACGACCCGTGCTCACCGCGCCTCGACCCGCACCACCCCCACCACCGGCCCGGCTCCAGGGCCGAGCAGACGGTGGCGTCGCCGCGACTCCACCAACACCACCAGCACCACCACGACGGCGGAGGGCGCCAATGCGGCCGGCGCCAGGAGCCGGCCGCGGCGACGCCGGGCCCCGGGCCGCCCTACGAGCCTGCGTCTCCCCGGCTGGCGCCGTCCGCCGCCGGGGGGTGCTGCAGGGGCGGGGGGGAAGGGGTGGCGGTGGCGTCGCCGGCTTCCCCGCGGGGGGGGCGCCAGCAGCAGCAGCAGCAGCAGCAGCAGGGAGCGAGTCGGCGTGGGCGCGCTCCACCACGACCCGCGACAGCCCCGTGCACCACCCGCCGCCTGTGGCGCTGGCGGGCGACGCGGGGCCCCACGCCTTCTCCAGCCTCTTCAGCTTCATCGACCACACGCCCACGCTGCTCGACACCGTCAAGCGGCTCGGCATGGGCATCCTGAAGCCCTCCAGCCGGGCGCAGGTCCCGCAGGTCGCGCAGCAGGGGTCCGCTACTCAGCAGGGGTCCGCTACTCAGCAGGCGTCCGCTACTCAGCAGGCGTCCGCTACTCAGCAGGGGTCCGCTACCCGGCAGGGTGGCGAGGCCCCGAGCGCGACGGAGCGGCGAGCGGAGGCGTTACCGCAGGTTGGTCGTTTGCACGGCAATTCGATGAATCGTCGCGACTCCGAGTCGCGGTCCGCTTCGCCGTGCGGGTCGGCTGACCGTACGTACGTCGCCTGCGCCGGCTCGGCGGGCGTTCGGCGAAGGCGGCCGCTTTAGAGGGGGCGCGAGTGATCGAACACGAAGAAGGCAAGCCGATTGTCACCGCGAGTCGATCGCTCGACCTCATCGTCCCCGTCCCCTCCACCGGCATGGCTCTCGAGACGACGTCCGGGCGCTCGTTCCACGTGGAGCGGCGCTCGCGATTCGGGACCGGCGACCCCTGAACCCCGCCCATCCCCCCCCCCCTCTGTCCACAGAACCCCCAGCAGACGCCGTCACCCCGGAGTCTCCAGCGAGTGGAGACGTGGGGTGAGAAACCTGAGGGTGGCGCCAGCCCCAGCCGGGGGGCCCAGCGCCCCAGCAGACTGGAGGTCGCGGGACCCTACAGGGCCGAGCAGCACTACCATCAACAACAGCTTCAGCAGCAGCAACAACAACACTACCAGCAACAGTTACAGCAGCACCAGCAGGAGCAGCAGCACTATCACCACCAACAGCAGCTGGAGCACCAACATCAACAGCAGCACCAGCAACATCAACAGCAGCAGCATGAACATCATCATCATCACCAGCCTCAACAGCAGCAGCATGAAGATCATCATCAGCAGCATCAACTGCAGCATCATCATCATCAACAGCAGCAGCATCAACAGCAGCTGCAGCAGAATCAACAGCAGCAGCAGCATGAACTTCATCAGCAACAGCAGCAACAGCAGCAGTGTCAGCAGCAGCAGCAGCAGCAACAGCAGCAGCAACAGCATGAACTTCATCATCAGCAGCAGCAGCAGCGTCAGCAGCAGCACCCGCTGTGCGTGGCGCGCAGTGAGTCCGCGAGTCCCAGCAGAGGGCCCCCCGCCAGTCCCGCCCGAGCGCCCGGCTCTGCCGAGGTACGACGGCGGTCGGGCGCCGCCACCGCCCTCGCCGCGCGCCGCAGTTGAGTCAAAGCGCATCGCGACCACGACCGCATCCGCTGTTGCCGCCGCTGCTGCTGCGCTGGCAGCAGCGGTGCACAAGCGCGGGCAGCAGCAGCAGCAGCAACAACTCGATGGACGCGTTCGCCAATGCGGGAGGTGGTGTTGGCGATCGCGTCGAGTTGGTTTTGTTCGGCGGGAGAGAGCCGTGCCATTGGCTGCTTCGGCCTGCAGACGCGATGCGGAGGGGAGGCGCGCGTAACGATCTCTCCACCCGTCGATTGGAAATTAACGTTGGGCCGACGTTGGCATGTGGTTGGAAACGTCGGCCCAACGTTGAGCCAACGTTAGCCCAACGTTCCGTGCTTACCGGGCAGAAGCCCGTCCGCTTCTGGCAGCGTGATTCCCCGTTTCCTCGCGCCGTCTCACGGTCTCTCCCGCCGCGCGGCCGCATGCCGTGCCGTGTGTACGTGTGCAGAGCAAGGCCGTGCTCCTGCCCTACCCCTGGCGGTCGTGACCCGTCGGGACGCAGGTCAAGTTCAGCAGCAGCGGCAGCATCTTCATTCAGCAGCAGCATCAGCGGCACCACCACCACCATCGTCATCAACAACAACAGCTGCCACAGAGTCTTTGCTTGTTGGCATTTTAATCAGAAACACATTTTAACTCGCCGCGCTCACGCGCACGTCTCTGGCCGTCTCGTCTCAATGAATCTTAGCGTGTTCATTAACGAATCAATTAGCTCGTGGGCCCGCCGATCGCGTCCGAGAAAGTCCCCGTCACTCGCGACGCCCGTCAACCGGAGACGGCCCCGACCGAGGCCGGGGGGGGTCGGTCGAGGCGACGGCGCCACTACCGCGTGATGTCACCACGCTGTCAGACGACGGCGCCACGCGGTTCGTGGTCGTGGCAGCCAATTAGGCCGTGGCAGGGTTTTTCGTCTGGTGGGTCCGCAGGGCCATGCGGGTGTTGCAGCGGGCGGCTGAGCTACGGCCAAACGAGGGCTCTTGACGCGTCGAAATGAAGCGGTTGCCGGATCGTTGGCCCCTTGTAGGGGCTTTGTGACGTCGCATGACGTCACAACGCCTCTACCCGTGACGTCACGCGGCCCGGCAGTGTCTGCTGAGGTTTCCCACCGGTGGAAAGTCTCTCCAGAGTGCAACCACAGTCGATCTTCCCCACAAAGTGGTACTCGTTTTATCGACGGTAGAGGAAGGGCTGATGGGCCAGGATTTTAACCCGCAACCTTGTGATCGCGAGCCGCTCGCTGTACCGCTGGCCCGGTAACCTGGGTGAAGACCCCTGGCCAATGGCGTCATCGTGCCTAGGCTGCGTTCATTGGCTCCAAGAGGCTTGAGCATTTTAAACTCTTAACGCGTGATATTATATGAGATATATATGTATGCCCTGATATCACGTGTCTGCTTACATTAGAAAAGTACTGCGAACTTAACACTTCCACGGCTCACGTAAAGTTCAAACATCGTGTACATAGGTATATGCATTCACGCGACAATACGCACGCACACACATGAAGCCCAGCCCACGGCGATCGCTGTCCAGTCGAGAGCTGTAATATCTGTGAGACGGGATCGGCTTGCACCATGGGTCTCTATGCGAGTCACTCTGTCTATGTGTGAGTCTATGGGTCTCTGTGTGAGTCTTCACTGAATGGGGCTAGCTTTGCACCATGGGTCTCTATGCGAGTTACTCTGTCTATGTGTGAGTCTATGGGTCTCTGTGTGAGTCTTCACTGAATGGGGCTAGCTTTGCACCATGGGTCTCTATGCGAGTCACTGTCTCTATGTGAGTTGCTCTGTCTCTGTGTGATTCTATGGGTCTCTATGTGAGTCTTTTGGTCTCTGTGTCAGTCTGTGAGTCTCGACGCGAGCCTTCAATGAATGGGGCTAGCCTTGTCCCATGGGTCTCTATGCGAGTCACTCTGTCTCTGTTAGCCTCTGTGTGAGTCTGTGGGTCTCTCCATTGCAGCGGACACACATGCGCCATCTGTCTGAGTGACGGGGAGGGGGCGAAAGGAAGGAGAGAAATGCCTCGACCACGCTCGCTAGTGCGTGTGTCTGCGTGTGTCAGTGTGTCTATGCGTGTGTGTCTGCGTGTGTCAGTGTGTCTGTGCGTGTCAGTGTGTCTGTGCGTGTGTGTCACCACCAGATAACGGCTCAGACCTCCCCACCCCCATATCCAAACCCCCTGTCAATGGGCACTGCAATGATGACCGACTGCTCACCAACCGAGTCAAGTCGACACCACGCAGCAGGGGCTGCAGGGACAACCCGTGGGAGTTGGGGGTGGAGGGGCGGGGGTGGGTCCCGGTGTATTATGGGTAAATTACGCGAAGCCCCCCCCCCCCCTCACGTGGTCACGGATAAGAGGAGCTCCACTCTCGCGCTCCCGATCCCACGCCACTGCCGGCGACCGCGCAGCGCTGAGCCGCCTGGTGGCGCTGCTCCACGCTGCGTTCACAGAGAAGGGCGATCTCGCCACGCCGCGGTCCATGATTCCGCCCTCACCAATTTGCTGCTGCTGCTCCCTCATTCAAAGACAAATCAGCTCGTTCGGCGCCGCACGCGCCCGATGATTGTTCAACGCGTCCCACGTGACGCGCCAAGCAATTAGCGGTGTCGCCTTCACGCGCAACACGCGCAAGCACACAGACGCCGAGATCCCAATGTTCATTTGAATCGGCGTTGTTAAAGCAGAGAGCGTTGCGTGTCTGTAATCTACCCAGACAGCACCGGGAAGCCGTTGACCAGTCGGACTGACCCCCCCGCCCCCCACCCCCTCGCCTCCCCCCATCGCCCCCATGTGGCAGCACCCTGCTGACCCCGTGCGATTTGCTTGTATCAGAACCGTCGCTATTCGTCCGTTCTGCGGGACGTCACAAGCCCCTCCACGTGGCTTGAGTCGGGTCGGGTAGGGGGGGTGGGGTCTGTGCCCGAGCCTTGAAATGACCGAGCTGATGTTGCACGATACGGGTTTGATTGTAGAGCGACCTCATGATGTGAACGCCGCGGTGTTTTTATTTATTTAAGAATGTATTTATTTATTTCCAGATGTGTTCGCTCGTTCAGGCAGAAACTTGATATTCACGCAGCCTTTCGCCTTATGGAGTCAAGCTGATCACCTTCACCCCCTGCAAAGAAATGGAACAATCCAAGCTTAGCTGATACAGTACTGTGGGTGACTTGGAGTATACCATTTGAGCGCGGTGTGTGTGTGTGGGGGGTATACGCTGGTAGTGAATGTGCTCGTTTGTCTTACAGATGCACGCGAACTGCCATGCACGGGTAAGCGTGCGCGGTTAATCACCCACCATGTGTAAAACACGACGTCATAGCGCACAATCACGCGTCGTCCATCGCGTAAGTCGACACGATCAGCATGAATAATGAATAGAGTGTAGGCTTAATTATAAACAATTAAACCAAGGGTACGTATCCGTGTACGATCATCATCATCATGAATATTCCATCGGCACCGGCCGTGACGCGCGACTCGGTCCGGCGACTCCGCGCCCGAGTGCTGCCCGCTGCAGCGGCGCCGACCGTGACCCCCGCTCGCCCACACCCCCAGGGGCCACGCCCCAGAGGTCACGCCCACAGAGGCCACGCCCCCCGATGCCACGCGAGGCCACGCCCCCGAGGCCACGCCCTGCCTCGTAAGGTCCCCAATCCCCTGCATCTCCAGACCCCCAGACCCTCAACCTCCATCCCTGCTCCCCGAAACCACGGATCTCCGTCCCAACGCTTCCACATTTGCTGACTGCGTGTCCTGCTGCCCCATCCACAATCAGAGCTCCCACAAATTCTTGACACAGGCCTTAGTCCCCTAGATCGCCAGATCTTGCATCTTCACATCTCCAACCCAACCCTGACAAGATCTACAACCAAATCCTAACGACATCTCCAACTGTAGATGCAACTCCTCCAAACCACCCCAACCCGAGTTCCCACCTCCTACACTCCACACACCCCTCTACCCCCCAGCCCTCTCAGCTTCCCACATCCAGCACCTCACCACCCACTCTCAGCTTCCCAGATCCAGCACCTCACCACCCACTCTCAGCTTCCCACATCCAGCACCTCACCACCCACTCTCAGCTTCCCAGATCCAGCACCTCACCACCCACTCTCAGCTTCCCACATCCAGCACCTCACCACCCACTCTCAGCTTCCCAGATCCAGCTCCTCACCACCCACTCTCAGCTTCCCAGATCCAACTCCTCACCACCCACTCTCAGCTTCCCAGATCCAGCACCTCACCACCCACTCTCAGCTTCCCAGATCCAACTCCTCACCACCCACTCTCAGCTTCCCAGATCCAACTCCTCACCACCCACTCTCAGCTTCCCAGATCCAACTCCTCACCACCCACTCTCAGCTTCCCAGATCCAACTCCTCACCACCCACTCTCAGCTTCCCAGATCCAACTCCTCACCACCCACTCTCAGCTTCCCAGATCCAGCACCTCACCACCCACTCTCAGCTTCCCAGATCCAACTCCTCACCACCCACTCTCAGCTTCCCAGATCCAACTCCTCACCACCCACTCCCAGCTTCCCAGATCCTCACCACCCACTCTCAGCTTCCCACATCCAGTTCCTCACCACCCCGGAGCAATATCGGCTTTTGTTGAGACTGCTGCCCCCACCGATTCAGGGCAACAAGAGTGATCTGAGGGACTAGCGCCCTGAACCCTGAACCCGTGACACGAACTCCGAACCCTTAACCACTATATTCTAACCCAACACCAAACTCTAACCCCTAACCTTAAATCCGAACCCCTAAATCCCACCAGCTACCCCAACACCTCAACGCATAACTCCGAATCCTAAATCATAACTCTAATCCCCTAAACCCTCATCTCTAAAACCAACCCCTATCCCATAACCTCCACTCAAACTCTAATCCCTAATCCAAAATCTTAACCCTAAACTCTAACCCGTAAAATTTCACTCCTGAACGCCAACCCATGAATCCCAACCCTGACTTAATTCCTGACTACTCCCCGAAACCGCAATGACATCGACTTATTGGCAGATGCCATTGGTCAGGAAGCGGTGAGCACCACCCAAGCAAGGGCTGTGATTTGACTGACGGAAATCTGGTCTGAGGTTGGCTCCGGAACGCGTGTGGTGCAGCAGTCTCTCCGCCTACGCCCGTGACCTCACTCATTGCTCAAGGGAGCCACGAAGTGTCGTTGTCGAGAATGCCAGTAAGCTATAAATAGCGCCTCCGTCCCCGTATTTCTGTTACCACGCAAATCATGCAAATACAAATATTTCTCCACACCGCATCAGCCACTCGGCCTTCTGAGGGTGCATCTCATCAGCAGCAACAAAGTAAAACAACAGCAACTCTGGAGCGGTTTCGACATCCAGTGTCTCAGCGGGCCTCTCGCTCTGCTGCTGAGACACCGAAAAGTAAAAAAAAAATAATTTCGCCAGGCAAGGCCCACACAGAACTACACCGATCTCTTTCAGAAGCGACCTGGCCACAAATGACCGCTCAACGAAGTGGTTAATCGTCACGTGGACATTCATAGGGGCCAAAAGTCGAGACCGATCCAAGTGCTCTGCTTGTGTAGAACCAATTCTGCTAAGATGCACTCCCATGAGGCCGAGCGGCTGATGGGATGTGGTTACAGTGAGACGTGTAATCGCATACTTTGCGTGGAGACACCAAATACTATTTAATTAAACACAAGTTATGAGCAACGACCCCGTGACCCAATTAGAAGCCCACGTGACCTTCGTACCATATCGCCAGGGCAGCACGTGTGTTGATGTAGTCGTCGTTGTTGTTGTTGTGTTTATCTGTTTTTGTTCATCTTAAAAGCACTTGCACTGTGAAGACTCGGCTTCCGACGAACGCGTGGAAACTCCCCAGTACACGTGCCCAACGTTGGCCCAACGTTGGCCCAACATTGGCCCCCAGCGTTACAGCAACATATATGTGGTACTGCACAGTATATATGTGGGTCCTGCACAATATATATGTGGGTCCTGCACAGTATATATGTGGTACTGCACAATATATATGTGGGTACTGCACAGTATATATGTGGGTCCTGCACAATATATATGTGGTACTGCAACAGTATATATGTGGTACTGCACAATATTTATGTGGGTACTGCACAATATATATGTGGGTACTGCAACAGTATATATGTGGTACTGCACAGTATTTATGTGGTACTGCACAGTATATATGTGGTACTGCACAGTATTTATGTGGTACTGCACAGTATATATGTGGTACTGCACAGTATTTATGTGGTACTGCACAGTATTTATGTGGTATATGTTGTGCACGCAAAATGCTAAACTTGTGCGCACGATTAGGCGCGAGCGTCGCGCGTCCACAGACCGCGGTGCGGCGCGTCCCGGGCGTGACACGCGTCCCGGGCGTGACACGTGCCGCTCACCCTCAGTGTTCTGTCGGCATTGGCTGACCTCTCAAGTTGGGAGTGTGTGCGTGAGATTAGTGGGAGTGGATGAGTCTGTGAGAGTCTGTGGGAGTGGATGAGTCTGTGTGAGTCTGTGGGAGTGAATGAGTTTGTGAGAGTCTGTGGGAGTGGATGAGTCTGTGTGAGTCTGTGAGAGTGGATGAGTCTGTGTGAGTCTGTGAGAGTGGATGAGTCTGTGAGAGTCTGTGAGAGTGGATGAGTCTGTGTGAGTCTGTGAGAGTGAATGAGTCTGTGAGAGTCTGTGGGAGTGAATGAGTCTGTGAGAGTCTGTGGGAGTGAATGAGTCTGTGAGAGTCTGTGGTAGTGGTTGAGTCTGTGTGAGTCTGTGAGAGTGGATGAGTCTGTGTGAGTCTGTGGGAGTGAATGAGTCTGTGAGAGTCTGTGGGAGTGGTTGAGTATGTGTGAGTCTGTGAGAGTGGATGCGTCTGTGAGTCTGTAGGAGTGGATGAGTGTGTGAGAGTCTGTGAGAGTGGATGAGTGTGTGAGTCTGTGGGAGTGGATGAGTCTGTGCGAGTGGATGAGTGTGAGAGTCTGTGAGAGTGGATGAGTGTGTGAGTCTGTGGGAGTGGATGAGTGTGTGAGAGTCTGTGAGAGTGGATGAGTCTGTGAGTCTGTGGGAGTGGATGAGTGTGTGTGAGTCTGTGAGAGTGGTTGAGTCTGTGTGAGTCTGTGGGAGTAGATGAGTCTGTGTGAGTCTGTGAGAGTGGATGAGTCTGTGAGTCTGTGAGAGTGGATGAGTCTGTGAGAGTGGATGAGTCTGTGAGTCTGTGTGAGTGGATGAACCTGAGTCTGTGAGTGCCGGTGGGACTTGAGAGTGCCGCGTGAGATTTGAAGTGTGGATGTCTGCACGATGGAAGTCGTAGTAAAGATTCTGTACACCCCGCAAAGCCGAGCCACGCATCGAGTCCGTTCTTCTTCCACTCCGCATCCGAGAGCTCACAAGCAGCACCCCTCCCCCCGCCTGCCGCTAGTCCACAAGCGAGCGCCCTTCCTAGCCACAATTCTTGCCTGCAACGGTCGAACAACAACGCACCTACCATGGTATGTGTTGCTCTGTTTGATATTTTCTTTAAACATATATATGCGGTATACAGTACGATCAAACATCGACCATCTGTTTAATAAACGTGTTTAATATATCCTCAATTATGGGCAACATTAAACAACTTCATTTAACTCAAATAAAATCTAACATCGCAACTAATATCATGGCATGACCTCCGTCCTGCACGTGCGCTGGCACCATCGCTGCGTGCCGATGCTGAGCCCCACGGCAAGAGCCAAAGGCGCAGCGCTGCAATGGCTCGTCAAGACGCTGCTAAGAAGGAGCTCTGGAGCAGCCCCTCGAGATGGTGTTTTGGCCTACTCTTCCACACTGGACAGATGGACACGAGATGGACACGAGACGGACACGAGATGGACACGAGACGGACACGAGATGGACACGAGACGAGACACGAGACCGACTGGTCGACCCGGTCCACACCCAGACCGGTTGTCTCCCCTGTTTCCACAGCCACCGTCGTAAATAGCCCCCCACCATCCCCCACCACTTTGCCACTGCCGCCCGCAGTTCATCAAAGGTCATTTGTTTGCGCCCCGAGCTGTACGCGCGCCGATCACAGCTCCATCCCCGGCTAACATCAGTGGCGAGCGATGAAGCCCTCCTTCACCAAGCCACAATCACCGGCGTGGTGAAGTATGCCCAAAACAACTGACACCCCCTTGGGAGGGCCTTCGTCGAGCAGCGGAATGCCAAAGGGGGTGTCAATTATTTGATTATTATATTGTATTTGTAAAGGTCAGAACATATCCGCAGCCACAATACTGGTGCAGAACACAATGGTACAGCCGACCGCGGGTTTACAACGCGTGCTCGTGCCACCGCATGCCCGTGGCCCGGCGCTGCAGCAGGGCGCAGCAGCTGTTTGTTGGACGGAGACAGAAGCCGCCAGGCGCTCGGCAACGGAGGAGAGGGAAATCCAGAACCTGGAATTGAACGTGGACGGGAGGGAAGCCGACAGCACGGATAGCGCGGGGGGGGGGGGGGGGTCCCTCGCTCTATGCGGCGGTAGGAGACGATGCGTTCTAAAAAAAACCAGAGGCGCACAAAGCGCGCATTGTACACGCATAGTACCCACGCAGTGCGCACACAGTGCCACAATACACACGCAGTACACACGCAGTGCGCACACAGTGCCACAATACACACGCAGTACACACGCAGTACATACACGACACTATGTTGTCCCACGTCCGACCACATAGCCGCATGTGGAGTGAATTCAAACCGCATAGTCGGGGGAATTTTGGGCATAACTCGATGAGCCGCATGTCTGGAGCGACATCGCACAAAGCGACCCCACGTCGACCTCGGGGAACCTGTCGTTCCAGAGTGATGCGGGCGGCAGCGGAGGGCGGTGTCCAAAGTTCGCGCGCTAAAACAAATGCTGCTCGGCTAACGCGGGTTCGGGAAGGCTAGTAGGCCGATATTGTTGTGTGGAAATCGCGCAACGGAAAAGTTGTTCGATATATATTTATTTGATTTAAATATCGCAAGCCACACGCAACAGAGAGCGCAGCGCATGTTGCTGGAGATGCATCAACGACGCGGCGCTGGCGGTGAGCTGAGCTCAGGGTGTCGGAAGAGACTTGTGCATATGTCGATTTAAAGCTTTCGTGACTGCAGGGATTCATTTTTTTTGGTTCTTTCGATAAAGTCACGTAGAAGGGAAGTAATACAATAATACAAATAAAACATAATAAAATAATTCTCACGACGTTTCGGCCACAACGCAAGCAGCCGTCCTCAGGTGAAGACCAGGTCTGTCGGGGAGACAGCGACAGCGTACGAAGCCAACCGTGCTCACCGAGACGCTGTCTCCCCGACAGACCTGTTCTCCACCTGAGGACGGCTGCTTGCGTTGTGGCCGAAACGTCGTGAGAATTATTTTATTATGTTTTATTTTCATTATTTGATTACTTCCCTTCTACGTGACTTTACCGAAAGAACCAAGAAGACTTGTGCATGTTGAACTTCTTTCGCACCGTACGAAGCCAACCGTGCTCATCGAGAGGCACGAAGCAGCAAGCCGGGTGTGTCTGGAAGCGGGTGGAGCGGTGGCACAGTGGTGAGGGCACCAACGCTGACGACCGCTCACCCAAGTTCGACTTGCCGGCCACGGCTAGAACCCACGGGGCTCTTCATCGCAAGGCCGCGCGGGCCCCTGGCGGTCCCTGGCGGCCTTCAGTGCGGCCCCCGACAATCCACAACACGTGACACCCCCCCCCCCCCCCCCCACATCACCATCGTCATCCTGCTGTTGTCAAACCACAAATTGTTTCAAATGTGTGGCGGCGGCTGCCCTCCCGTTGCTGATGTCTCATCAGTGAAAGTACCCCCACTCTGAAAATGAGTGCAGAACGCTGCGCGAGATGGAGGTGGCCTCGTGGCCTGTAGTCCAGCACTTGTGGCGGCGAGGGTTGGTGGATCACCGCACACGTGTTGTGAAACTCCCTTCCCGTCGTTGTCGAAGAAGTGCCAAATCCCAGGCTCGCTAGAAGGCAGTACAGCAAGTGTGGACTGATCGCACTCCATCTCCGTCTCGACGGTGATAGAGCGTTGCCCCCTCTCGCAACCCGTGGATTTTCTCCGGGTGCTCCGGTTTCGCTCCACGTGTATAATTAGAATAGTAAACACAACTCATCATTAAAATGGCTGAAAACGTCTTACGAATAAAAAAAACCCAATGTAGCGGCAAGACCCTCCTGCTCGTCCACGGTTCTTCGGTGTGAGTCTCAAGGTCACGATTTACACATTCCCCATCCCATTGGCGGGGGCGAGTCGCGTTTAAAGAGCAAACACAACGACGCGAGATCGTCTGTAGAAGCGCGCGTGTGCAGAAACAACACACCGCGAAGAGAGTCTCGCTGGCCGGTCGGGGTGGCTCCTGGGAGCGCGCCGTTCCGCCCAAAGTCCGAGTTCGCCTGCGGGCCAGGGATCTGAGTGCCGCGCGGTCAGTCCTGCTCCGTCAGTCGGGTCTGCAACGTGCGCTGGACTGCGGAGTCGTGTGACGTCATTGGTGATGAAGATAATTGGTGGATAACCACCGTGGTGGTCATGCCACCCGCACCGCGCACCGCGCAGTGACCCCACTGCGGCCTGCGCTCTTTCAACGCAGCAGCAGCAGGAGGAGGGCGACACGACACGAACTCTCTCTCTCTGCTGAAGCCCTCTCGTCGTGCCAGCAGCAGCAGCAGCAGGAGGAGGAGGGCGACACGACACGAACTCTCTCTCTCTGCTGAAGCCCTCTCGTCGTGCTAGCAGCAGCAGCAGCAGGAGGAGGGTGACACGACACGAACTCTCTCTCTGCTGAAGCCCTCTCGTCGTGCCAGCAGCAGCAGCAGCAAGACCTCGACACTGGAATCGACATCCTAAAGCAGATCGCTGCCACCACGCGCAAAAATAGCATAGTTGATCATGGATATCGGTCGTGATGATTATGGATTGTGGATGATGTCGATAATGATGATAATGATGATTGGATAATGTTATAATCGATGGTGTAAGATGATAATTATGATGTATAGTGAGTGTATCCTAATACCAGTGATAATAGAGAGCGGATAATGTTGGAGAATACTACTGTTATTATCATGGATCATTTATCATGGGGATAATGATGATGGTTATCATCTACAGTGCGTCCAAACAGCAATAGCAACTGTGGTTAAGGGATACCGCCTCGGGCAAACGCTGCAAAGGTTCCCACATTTTTGAAAGTCACCAGCAGGGTGTGACCTGAACAAAGAAAAACACCACAATTAGCAAGAAGGATACGATTGAAGCGCCAAACACATGCACGTCCTCACCAACAAGCTTCTTCGATGCAGCTGATGTCGATGCAGAGCAACTACAATTTCATAATCAAGTGGTCAAGCCAGATAACCGCGCCAATAGTGACATACGGTCACTTGTTCAACCCACTGCTGGGTGAAGGTTTCCCCACGCCGTGTAAGACCACGGGGATGTATTGGCCACGCGTCACCCAGGTGGTGAGCCCGGCTTGGCGAAGGGGCGACGCTCCGGACTTGGTTCACTCGCGGTCAGATTCACACCCGCCACTCACGTTAACAGATTCCCGAAATCGATCGATCCAGATCTTAAATAGCACACAGCCATCATTACCATCATACACGATCCAACATCAGCATCGACATCATTGACTGCACCGTACAATCGTCATCGTCGTCAGCCCGACGCCCCCACCCCCCACCGATCCGCCCCCCCACGTCAGCGCCGCGCCTCCGTCTCGGGTGCCGCGCAGAGAAGCCGGGGCGACGCCGCCACCCACGGGGGTCCTCGTCTCGTTCCTCTCCTCGTTCCTCTCCACGTCACTCTCCCCGTGACTCACCTCGTCACTCACCACGTGACTCACCTCGTCACTCACCACGTGACTCACCTCGTCACTCTCCCCGCGACTCTCCCCGTGACTCTCCCCGTGACTCACCTCGTCACTCACCACGTGACTCTACTCGTCTCTCTCCACATCGTTCCTCATCCTCTCCTCGTCCTTGTCCCTCAACCTAATCATCCTCATTCATCTTCCTCCTCCTCCTCGTTCCTCCTCTCCATTGTTCTCATCCACCTTTCTCACCCTCATCTTTGACTCTATTCCTCACCTCCTCCTCTTACTCCCCCTCCACCCTCCCCTCCCCCTGGTCCTCATCCTCCGCCTGCTCCTCACCCCCCCCCCCCCCGCATCTTCTTCGCCGTCTCGCCCAGAGCTCAATGAGTTGAGGTCGCGATTGGACGCCGGTCCCCTGTGGACGGAGGGATCGAGGGAGGTGAGTGCGTGATGACGGGAGCTCTAGAATCACTGACGATGATGACGGAGTGCGTATGATTCTGCTGCTACTGCTGCGTAGGTTTCGCGATTGTGGTGCTGCTGCGTAGCTCTCTGATGTGTTATCGTGGAGCGAAACGTCGGACATCGTGCCGAGCACGCGACGAGGAGCTGTGGTGAGAAGCAGCGAAAGGCGCACGCTGGGGTCGACATTGAAAGGGATGAGGAAGACGTGGATTCTAGAACATACTCAGGGTAATGGCATCATCAAAACTTTTTATAAGAAGAAGAAACACTGATTTGGGCTTGAACATGCAACGTCGCTTGCAGAATCGATGGCCCGTGGTCAAGATTAATGACGGAGTGGCAGAACAAAGGTGGAAGCCCGTCCCATTGACATCCGCCGTGGAGACGGAGCGATACAATCAGCCAGTGGGTGGATTGTTACTTTGCAATGCCGTGAGAGGTGGCGAAGTTTTCACCCAGCGGTGAACTGACCATGGATGTAGATGATGATGATGAATGCACGGTGTGTATGTGTGTATTGTTGTGCATGTCATTTACGAGGAGCGGTGGTGCAGTGCTTAGCGCACTATGCTCCGAACCGATCCGACCCCGGGTGTATACATGTCATGCACGTTGTGTGTATGTCGTTCAATTATGCAACACGCACGTCGAACAAACAATGCAAATCTTCACGTAATCTCGGTCATTGATCCAACCCGTCTGTGGTCAACAAAGGCAGTGGGCCTACTGAGAACACGTGGGACGAGCGGAGGAGACCTGGGGCGGACACCTGGAGCTGGGGAGACCTGGGCCACGTGGGGCACAGGACAGATCCGGAACACGTGGATTCAGACCGGGGAACGTGGGACAAGAAGGAGACTTGGGACGGACACGTAGAGCGAGGGAGACCTGGGACGGACACGTGGGAGTCCGATCAAGGTTTCTGCTGGGTGGTTCCCGATCAGACAGGAGCGCCGGTCCAAGCAGGGACCCCCCAAGATGGCCATGAAGACTTCGTTCACCCTCCTCGTCCCCTTCCTCCTCCTCGTCCTAGGACCCGGGAATCGCACGGTGTGTCCCCCCACACACACGCACACTCACCTGTGTGTGTGTGTAATAATGTGCATGCGCTTTGTCAGTCCCCTGCCGAACCCATACTTTACCGCGCTTGTCAGCGCGGGTCTGGGCAGACGTGGAGCCCACACGTGTGGTACAACAATGTACATTTGACGCACTGCCCTCTGCCATGCGATTTGAGACTACTGGCAGCAGCTACGTGAGCTGTGACTACTGGCAGTAGGTACATGATTTGATTCTAATGGCATCATGTAAGCTATTTTGGTATACTGGCACGTTCATTATTTGTCTACTCACAGGATGTATGTGATTGATCCTCCTGGTGGCACGTATGTGATGTGAGCACTGTTTGGCACGAGCCCAACTTTGCAACATCGCGTCTCGAGTTCTTCTCTCGCGTTTCCCCAATTGGACACCCCGATATAATTTAAAACTCCACAATTGACCAGCAACCTTCCCCCCGCCAAGTCCTTTCACGATCTTCCAACAAAGCGAGTCTCTTGCGCCGTCTCTGTTTCGCCTTTGTTCTCTCGTCAATGTTGTTCCTCCTCTCCGCGCCATCTCTCGGCGTCTTTCCAAGCAAACCTCCCTCCCCCCCTCCCTCCCTCACAGCCTTTCACGCACCTCATTTTCACCGCCTGATATGCTCAGAGTGATGGCATGACCTTTACTCGTCGATTGAGACCCAAAACAGGAAGACTGCTTCACAATTCTGGCTCATTGCTGATGAAGCCGGTTGTTATAATCACCAGCGAAAAGTCACTTTTCCTCGAATTGTAAATATTGTGGTGGGTTTACTCTCCAACACACAACCCGTGTGGTGCTGAAGTAGCAACCAATTAGCACGTCAAGATGAATGGATATTCGGGCCATATTATCCTCAAAGCTGTTTCTTTAACCATGGAGAAACAACCCCCTGAGACTCCGATCAAAACCATCACGTTACCATACATAGCAGGCGTTACCAAAAATATTTCCAAAATCTTAAACAAACACAAGATCCAGGTCCGATTCAGTACAGTACACAAAATCCGTGATCTAACCCCATCCGTAAAGGATGTCATTCCTGGCATGCAATACCCTGGAGTATACAAACTGAGTTGTATTTGTGGTGATTGTTACATTGGAGAAACGAAACGACTTGTATCAGACCGTATTCGCGAGCATAAGGCAGATTTGAAACACGGCAGGACGAACTCTTCCGCCGTGGCTGATCACTGCTACAACGCTGAGGGCTCTCATGATATTGTGTTCTCCGAGACCAAAGTGCTCTGCAAGCCGTCTGGCTACTATCAAAGGTTGTTCATGATGCCATCCAGATATACAAACATAGACATAACTTCAACCGAGAAGGATACAAATTGAGCAATCATTGGAAAGATGTTATTAACCAGGTGAAAAAATGTAATTATTCATCGTTGTCCCATCTTATGTATCGGATACCAGTCTATTTTACCGAGTTAATTGCATCGCCAGCGTTTAGCAGCGCTGCCATTTTCGATTTGCGTGGCCTCATTGGTTTTGGCTGCAGTTCGTAGCCGCTGCGTCGCTCTCTTTTTTCCCTCTGCGCGCATCTCTCACTCACTCCGCGTCTCGCTCACTCCGCCTCTTCACTCTGCCTCTTCACTCTGCCTCTTCACTCTGCCTCTTCACTCTGCCTCTTCACTCTGCCTCTTCACTCTGCCTCTTCACTCTGCCTCTTCACTCTGCCTCTCGCTTCTGGCCCCGCCGACTTCCCCCCCACCCCCCCGTTTCCCCCCCCACCCCCCCTCTTTGACTTATATAGCCTCCTGGCATCTCTCCCACTTTAGTATAAATTCTCTTGCTGTGGTGTTCACACCTGATGATGATGATTGCTTGTGTTGCAATCGAAACGTCGTGATTTAATTGTATTTATTTGTATCTTTTATTTTATTTATTAATTATTATTCTTAGGTTTTTTTTCGGTAAAGTCACGTAGGTAAAAAATACAAATTAATAAAAGTAGAATAAAAATAAAATAATTATTTTATTTTACTTTTATTATTTTTTACTTTTTTACCTACGTGACTTTACCGAAAAAACCTAAGAATATGAATCCTTGTAGTCACGAAAGCTTCAAATCTAGAATTATTATTTTTTATTTTCTTTACCGACGTGACTTTACCGAAAGCGCCAAGAGTATAGCACGTTTTGTTTACGTGACAAAACTCACCAATTGGCTGTGTTCTGTGGTGGCCGGCTAGCGGCACATTTATATTGACGCGCTCAAACCCTTAAAAAGACCTAGTTACAGGGCGCTTCAAAACAATGTTGACACTTTGGAGGATTTGCAACGACACCACAGGAAATGTGCCGCCTCCGGGCTCTGGAGACCACCTGGAGAAGATTCCAGGCACGTGTTGACAACGATGGCGAACACGTGGAGACTCTTTGAAGCTACTAGAAAACATTTGTTATCACGTGACAGTGTAGTAGTAGTAGTATCCGTTCTATTTTCCATTAAAAACGATAGTCCCATATAAGTGCTAACATATTTTTGAAACGCCCTGTATCAGGAAAAGCCTACCTTGTCAGTGATGTGTTCGTTGTTTTCGGACCGCGTCCCAAGTGAAGGGATCGATGTCACCTCACGCCGCCCCCCTCCACTCACCCGCTCGCTGTGTTTGCTGCTTTGTGCCTCCAGGCGGCCGCCGGGGGAGGTCCACACGGTGTCCGAGAACGACGAGGTACAGCGCGGTACCGTGGGTTGTTCTGCATGATGTCTGACGTTTCGCTCCAGGGGTCTGGGAGCTTCCATCGGGAGACAATTCAATTCAGTTCCCGAATGTATGCACGTTGATGTACGTGCGTATGTTGAACTTCTTTCGCGCCGTACGTAGCCAACCGTGCGAATCAGAGGTGCGGGGGAGCACAACAAACTGAACACAAAAATAAGTTCTAAACAAATTACGTTTCAATCTGGAATTTAAAGCGCGTAGCTCCAGTGGCTTCCTAATATCGGAAGGAGGAGCGTTCCAGACGGCCGCAAAAGCGCACCTGAATAGCGATGCGGTGACCGCCGTCTTTGTTTGATGGCCAGCAGCCAGAAGTCGCTGCGCAGATGACCGTGGCTCGCGTGGTGGTTTACGCTTCCCAGGACGTGGAACGAAACCTCGGGGAAGCGTGCCAATCGGTTCCCGGGTTGTGCCACGAGTTGTTCTGCATGATGTCTGATGTTTCGCTTCTAGTGCTGGGAGCTTCTTCAGGAACCTTTGATCGAGTTCCCAGAGGAGCTCCCAGCAATGTCGGACATCGTCGCGAGCACCCCGTAAACACGACGAGAGCAGAGACCTCCGCAGTGGCGTGAAGCGCTGCCTGCTGCCTCGCCCCTTCGTCTCTGTCAGCAGCGGCCGTGCAGACGATGGTCGTGCTGCTGGAACTGGAGATCACGGTCACCAATGGCATCATCAGCGACCAGGACATCCTGGACGTGCTGCGCAACGTACAAACGATCTTCATCAACGGCAGCGCCATCAACATCACCGACCCCGAGATCATCAGCGGTAGGGTTCGCCTTCGCGCACGCGGCTTGGCCACCACCCCGCTCTCCCTGTGCACTCATGCGTGCGCCCTTCTGCACAGGGGTTCTGCTGCAGCGTCCACACGCGACCCTATTCAGAGCCTTCCCGCGAGCGTTGAGGAGAGGTGTCGTACCCTGCCTGGTTCGCTGGGAGAAGGCGGTACAGCAAGTGTGGACTAATCGCCGCCTTTCTCAGTCTGTACGGGGATAGAGTGTTGGTTCAAAACATCTTAAAACAAAAAACCCAATGTTGCAGCACGAGTCCTTTGGCTCGGTGTGGTTCTCCTGGTAAGTTAGGTTATTTTTTTATGATACCTGGTATAGCCCCGACAAAATAGCATGTCCACACGACCAGCATGCAACTGGTGAAATCCGGAATTCAGCCGATGCCATCGCCTTGCCGTTGACCTCCCCGGAGAGGGGCACAGCAGCCACTGCTCACGGGGCGCGCTTCCAGCAGGGGTCAGAGCCCACGTACGCGATGCACGAAGTCACCTCGAGGTGCACGCCAAGCTTCTTCCTGGAATTAAGCAAAGTTAGTGCGGAGGTCGGGGTGTGTGACGGTCATCTCGTGGGCGTCACAGTGACGAGATGTTAAATCCCTCGCCCGGTATACAGGAAGTCGTGGGTTCCATCCCGACCCTCACGGCTGTATATTTGGAGTTTGCATGTTCTCCCTGTGGTTTTTCCCTCCGCATTTAGAAACGTGCGTTCAGAGTATTTGGCGGCTTTAAACTTCCATGTGACAAGCCACTTCGTTGAGCCATCATCTGTGGCCATGTCGCTTCTCAAAAAGAGCTATAGAGCTCAGTGGGGGCCTACCCAACGTGCTTCTGTGGCCGGCCACCCTTCTGTTGGGCGGCTTGCTCCCACAGCCTCTTGCCTCCTCAATGCCGTGAATCAGGGGTGCCCGTGTCTCCCTCACGCTCCCTCCTGTGCCCTATTCTGCACGGCTCAGAGTGTGTCCCCCAAGGCAACGAGACGCAGTGTCGGTGCGGAGCGGGGCTGCTGTGGGACACCTCCACCTGCCAGGCGCTGGGGCCCTGCTCCTCGGACCCCTGGGGAACCCCGCAGGGGTGCAGCTGCGTCCGGGGAGCACCCGCGGACCCCTTCCAGTGCAGCGCGCCGCCCCCTGCACCCAACGTCACAACCACACTCAACATCACAACAACACCCAACGTCACGACAACACCCAACGTCACAACCACACTCAACGTCACAACCACACCCAACGTCACAACCACACTCAACATCACAACAACACCCAACGTCACGACAACACCCAACATCACAACCACACTCAACATCACAACAACACCCAACGTCACGACCACACCCAACGTCACGACAACACCCAACGTCACAACCACACCCAACGTCACAACCACACCCAACGTCACGACAACACCCAACGTCACGACAACACCCAACGTCACGACAACACCCAACGTCACGACCACACCCAACGTCGCAACCACACCCAACGTCACAACAACACCCAACATCACAACTACACCCAACGTCACAATCACACCCAACGTGACGACAACACCCAACGTCACAACCACACCCAACGTCACGACCACACCCAACATCACAACTACACCCAACAAGCCTGAGACCAGCTCCACGACCGCAAAGCCAAGCGGCACCCTGTCAGGTGAGTGAACCAATCCGTCTCCCGCACTCGCGAGCCATCGTGCCACCTCGTGTCATCACAAACGCAGTGGGGAGGCGTTTGTAAACAAAGGCTCAGAGGCAGAGCGAGCGGCTCCACGGCCAGAAGGTCGGGATTCGCATCCTGGTTGGGGAGTTAACTCGGACCATGATCCCTCCCGGGTCGATAAAACAAGTACCGCTTCGTGGGGACGTCAACAGTGGTTGTTCGATGAATAGAACAAGTCCCCTCCATAGGAATGTGGAATGTCCACCGCGAGCTCAGAACTGTGAACACGAGATGAGCATCGTCAACACGATGCTCATTAGAGCAGGAAATATATTTTATTGAGCTACAAAGGCAACACCCCAGCCCAAACCATACATTGTAGCAATGGCAGGGTCTGAGCAGGTCGTCGGGCACATCCGGTACACCACATCCAGTATACCACCTCTCATCATGTCATCGCCCAGTGCGCCCCCTACATGCGTAATTGTGCCGATGTCAGAATCTTTTGATGTACGCGAAGTCCTCGGTTAACGTGTGGCGATGTTCACACTACAACGCGGTTCTTCCATTCGGGAACACTTATAGCACAACGTGGAACACGCACCATTATAACACGAAATGCAGACCCCATTATAATGCAGTTTCGGAGCATTCAACGACGAACTACTTTCTTGAGCTGCGCGGCTGAGTGATAGAGTACGCGGAGTGATACAGTAACACGGCGTCGTAGTAGTAGTGCTCCGTGTCTCGCCAAACTTAATCATTATTACATGAATTGTGGGGAAACTGTTTTCGCCGAAAGCGTTTCTCGCTGAACGCGGCACTGTCTAGGAACGCAATCTGCCGCGTTAAACGAGGACTCGCCGCATGTATAGGGTCGCGCGTGAAGAGAATGCCCAGTACGGAGTGAGTATGGCAGCTGCGATGAGTAAACGCGAACATGGTGCGGTAGATGCGCGTCTTACCCGTCGCCAAGTTGCGGAATCTGACTGTGATCGACTCGGCAACCACCCCTCGTGGGGCTCTCGCCGTGCGTGCATGGCCCCGGCGCGGCCCTACGCTACCGCTGTGGGGGAGTGGTGGTGCGGCGGTTAGCACGCTACTGCTACAAACGCGGTGACCCCGAGATCGATTTCCGATCAAGGCCACCAACACCGGTGGCGATTATCTGAATCGGACCTGGGCCTCCCCGAGGTCGACTCAGCCTCAAATGAGTACCTGGTGTGGTGTATAAACATTGCCGCTGGGGAGACAAAGCGGCCGGGCGTTGTGTTGGCCACCCACCCCATCGTGTGCTGTGCCGGCCTTCATAGGTGCTACTCGCGAACAGCACTTGCCCCCAACGCTATGGTAAGGCTACACGGGGGACCTCTGCCTTTGTGTGCCGTGCGTCTGCCTTTACCCCACGCTCAGATGTGAGCAGACACAACGTCACGATCCGGACGACGATGGAATTCGACAGCCTGTACGAAGATAAGAGCAGCAGCAAGTACATGGAAATGGAGACTCGTTTCTTGCCCGCGGTAGGCACACCACCGCGCGCCCATCGCGATCCGTGCCGTCAGCGGTAAGCCGGTCACGTGGCTCAGCGGCGGAGAGCGAGCAGCTCACCAGCCGCGAGGGTTGCGTGCTCAGTCCCTGGGTGGGGAGTTCAACCCATAGCTGTCAGTCCATACGGTTTGCCAGTAATTTTGTGAAGGGACATTGAGTTTTCAGGTCCATATGGCGTACAGCCGTTTCAATACGGGCAAATATATAAACAATTTGTGTCTGTTTGTGTTTCTCCCTTGTGATGGGACTTTATAGGATGAACTTTGAGATTTATAAGGGCACGGGGTGACCAATGAGGTCTAAATTAGTCTGTAATAAGGTAGGGCACTGACAAAGGGTTGACAGGTATGTGAACTCGGCCTATCATCTGTCTGGGGGTGGATAAAGGAAGTAGTGTACTGCTTTGTGGGGAAGTCAACAGCAGGTGCTGTGAACAGCAGCTGAGCACCTCCTCGATTATTAAGATGTTGTTGTTGTTGTTTGCGCGATGATGATGATGTTGTTGACATCAACATCATCGTAATCATCGCGCACACAAATACGCACGAAGATCCCCCCCACCCAGACAGCAGCGGATTGACAAAGGGGCGTGATGAATGTCACACTGATGCACCCCTCCTCCCTGCATTCCTTCAGCTCAACAAAAGCTACCAGCGCCTTGGAGAGCGCTTCATAAAGGTGATCATCCTGAGGTTCAGGTGAGAGAGGTGACCTCGACACGCAACGCTTAGACGGCTGGAAGTGCCCTGGCTGCTGACGGCACGCAGGGAAGCTGGGGGGGGGGGGGGGGTCGGGAGTGCTGGCGGTTGGCGGAATAAGCAAACAAATTGTTTATAATATTTATTTATATATTTACTTTACTAGGTAAGGCCCACTGAGTTATGTAGCTCTGGCCACAAATGATAGCTCAATGAAGTGGTTTACGTGGAAATGCATCGCAGTCTTTAGACTCTAAACGCACGTTGTCTCGACATGTGGGGAGGAAAACCCCGAGGACTCGCGACCACGGGGAGAGAAACATGCAAACTGCAAATATACAGCAGGCATCAGGGTTGGGATCGAACTCACGACCTCCTGTATATCAGGCGAAGTAGTTAACATCTCACCACGTGGAGAGAAACACGCAAGCTACAAATATACAGCAGGCATCAGGGTTGGGATCGAACTCACGACCTCCTGTATATCAGGCGAGGTAGTTAACATCTCACCACGTAAGAGAGAAGCACGCAAACTACAAATATACAGCAGGCATCAGGGTTGGGATCGAACTCACGACCTCCTATATATCAGGCGAGGTAGTTAACATCTCCTAGGCACCGTGGCGCCCCGGCAATGCCGGCTCTATGATTAATCAGGCCAACGTCGCCATTCTCCCGAGGGTCTTGGGGAATGTTGTGCCTTGGCGAGGGGCGGCAGTGTCAAATTCTGTCCTGGCTTCTACTCCGTACGTCACAAACAGTCAATTTACATATTTGGTAAACAAAACTAAAACAACAATACGGGTCTGCAAGTTACACAATCTCTGTGAGTGCATTGGATGCAATAGTCCCTGCTGCTGCACTTGACCCAAAAGTATGTGAAGGCTATACAGGGGAACTTTGTATATCCCTGTGGGATTGGCATATGTGTTGCACTGACCTTCCCCCCCACCCGCAGGAATGGGAGTCTGATCGTCGATTACCAGGTCATAGGTCACAATCTCTCCACTGAGGACATCATCAACAAGACTGAAGACATCAATATATTTCTGAAAAATGACAAAATCGAAATGAACACATCAAACCGATTGGTTATTCACTCGGAAGGTTCGTAAACTCCGGTTGAACGCACGGCTATAGGGATGTGCGACCGAATTTTGGATTAATCTGAAAAATACGGATATAGGACCTCGTCACGAAGTTTTTGACGATCCAAATATTTTTTATGTCTCTGATCGATCCGGGAAGTGGAAGTGACGTCATCACCACGCCATCGCCATCATGATGGCGTGTTAAGAGTGAATGTTATCTCAAAATCCCAACAATATTCCAAATTGTCCTCTAGAATCCGTTCGTGTAAAATCCGAAACTCGTCAGTCAGCGTCAGAGCAACGTCCCCAAAATTTGGCCAGGAATTCACTCCGGCCAGGTCTGCCCGGCCCGGTGACCAGGCCCGCCCGGCCCGGTGACCAGGCCCGCCCGGCCCGGTGACCAGGCCCGCCCGGCCCGGTGACCAGGCCCGCCCGGCCCGGTGACCAGGCCCGCCCGGCCCGGTGACCAGGCCCGCCCGGCCCGGTGACCAGGCCCGCCCGGTCCGGTGACCAGGCCCGCCCGGCCCGGTGACCAGGCCCGCCCGGCCCGGTGACCAGGGCCGCCCGGCCCGGTGACCAGGTCTGCCCGGCCCGGTGACCAGCCCTGCCCGGCCCGGTGACCAGGCCTGGCCGGCCCGGTGACCAGGCCTGGCGGGCCCGGTGACCAGGCCTGCCCGGCCCGGTGACCAGGCCTGCCCGGCCCGGTGACCAGGCCTGCCCGGCCCGGTGACCAGGGCTGCCCGGCCCGGTGACCAGGTCTGCCCGGCCCGGTGACCAGCCCTGCCCGGCCCGGTGATCAGGCCTTCCCGGCCCGGTGACCGGGCTGCCCGGCCCGGTGACCAGGCCTGCCCGGCCCGGTGACCGGTCTGCCCGGCCCGGTGACCAGGCCTGCCCGGCCCGGTGACCGGGCTGCCCGGCCCGGTGACCAGGCCTGCCCGGCCCGGTGACCAGGCCTGCCCGGCCCGGTGACCAGGCCTGCCCGGCCCGGTGACCAGGCCTGCCCGGCCCGGTGACCAGGCCTGCCCGGCCCGGTGACCAGGCCTGCCCGGCCCGGTGACCAGGCCTGCCCGGCCCGGTGACCAGGCCTGCCCGGCCCGGTGACCAGGCCTGCCCGCCTGCCCTGCCTGGTGACCAGGGGAGCGTTTCCGCACCCGGCACAACAACCACGACGCATCACAAACATCTGCTGCTCGTAGGGACTTGGCACTTTTGAAAACCAGCCAGAGGTGAAAGGGTCACCCGAAATTTCGAGATTCAAACGAGCGTGCAAATGTTTTTTTTTTATACGCGAACGCAATTCACCCCGACTGCTGTCCATTGCTTTCTGGACTGCTAGTTCCGTCATCAAACATTTCCGAAGACAAACGCATGTTGGAAAGTGTTACATGATCCATGTGAATGCATGTTTTTTACTAACTTTTAAAATAAGTTGTTATCGACATTATGGTGGCTATGCACGTGTGTAATCCAGTACTTGTGGAGGCGAGGGCTGGTGGATTACACAGACGGTCGTGAATCTCCTTCCCTTCCCATGGGCAGCGCGGTCGCCATGGCCTGGCTTATGGCCCGGGTACAATGGCAGTTAAAGCAAGCGGGTTAATTTCCATCTGCGCTGGGATTGAGTGTTAGCACCTCGCACGCACGTGCATTCTTCCCAAGTTTAAACACTCGTAAATCGATCTTGTCAAATGTCCAATACAGGACGCCAGAGCTCATGCAATTATTGTATTGGCAGGAAGGGTAAAACCTTTTCTTGTTTTGTAATACTTTGATACTGGCAAAGAGATCCCATGTTGTCGCTGCTCGCCCCGAGCTATAAATGCTCTGATAGTGCATTGTCCTTGTACTGTTCACGTTTTGGCGTTTTCTGGTCCGACACTGGTAGTGAGACAGGGCCCTCAAGGAGGCTGTCTCTATTGTAGGCCAATCAGTTTCAAAGGCAATGCCACATAGATTATGAGAGCCACGTGTTTGTTTGCATGTTCACCACGAGTACGTGTGGTTAATGCGGTGCTTGATTCCTTGCAAAAGGTTTATATTTGGTGTTAGAACATCTTAACACCTCCTGTTTTATTTCCAGAAAGAGTCAAACCTTTTATTGTTATTTTTATACACAATTGTTTTGTGTCGGTTCTGGATGCCTTCCCGCCCGTCTGTGTTTGCCCGCACCATTGTGCAAAAACTGTGCTCGTGACAAATGTCCACGAAATATGACACGATCTACATTGTTTTAATTTACATAATATTATCATTACTCTTTCCTTTTGTTTGAACAGGAAAAGAGATTTCGGTCCACGGCAATCTGACAGAGAATAGAGAGGTGACCCTTGTCTACAACAGCACAATAGCGAATACAACGAATGTCACTTGGTCGAGGAACGGGCAGAGCGTTTCCACTGACTTCGATATGATTGTGGCCACGAATCTAACCATCCGGAAGTTCCAGATAAGTTCCAATGGTAAGACATTGAGGTGCAACACCAGGCTCACAAAGCTATTCAGAAGCGCTAATGACACCAAACGCAGATGTGCCGGTCCGGTTTGACCGTGACAATCCCAGTGGTGTTTAGAAAGCCTGGAAATCTACCCCCGCGGCTCAAATGTCTGGCCTCACGCTCGGGAAAAGGGCTGAGCTTGCCGAGTAGTAGGCAGGGCAGGCAGAGGAGTGGGCAGGGCAGAGGAGTGGGCAGGTAGGGGAGTGGGCAGGGAGGGGAGGGGGCAGGGAGGGGGCAGGGAGGGGGCAGGGAGGGGGCAGGGAGGGGGCAGGAAGGGGAGGGGGCAGGGAGGGGGGCAGGGAGGGGAGTGGGCAGGGAGGGGAGGGGGCAGGGAGGGGAGTGGGCAGGGACGGGGGTGCAGGGAGGGGAGTGGGCAGGGAGGGGAGGGGGCTGGGAGGGGAGTGGGCAGGGAGGGGAGGGGGCAGGGAGGGGGGGGCAGGGAGGGGAGTGGGCAGGGAGGGGGCAGGGAGGGGAGTGGGCGGGGAGGGGAGTGGGCAGGGAGGGGAGTGGGCAGGGAGGGGAGTGGGCAGGGAGGGGGCAGGGAGGGGGGGCAGGGAGGAGAGTGGGCAGGGAGGGGAGGGGGCAGGGAGGGGGGGCAGGGAGGGGAGTGGGCAGGGAGGGGAGGGGGCAGGGAGGGGAGTGGGCAGGGAGGGGAGGGGGCAGAGAGGGGGCAGGGAGGGGAGGGGGCAGGGAGGGGAGTGGACAGGGAGGGGAGGGGGCAGAGAGGGGGCAGGGAGGGGAGGGGGCAGGGAGGGGGCAGGGAGGGGAGGGGGCAGGGAGGGGAGTGGGCAGGGAGGGGAGTGGGCAGAGAGGGGGCAGGGAGGGGAGGGGGCAGAGAGGGGGCAGGAAGGGGAGGGGGCAGGGAGGGGGGGGCAGGGAGGGGAGTGGGCAGGGAGGGGAGGGGGCAGGGAGGGGGGGGCAGGGAGGGGAGGGGGCAGGGAGGGGGCAGGGAGGGGAGTAGGCAGGGAGGGGAGGGGGCAGGGAGGGGAGTTGGCAGGGAGGGGAGTGGGCAGGGAGGGGGCAGGGAGGGGAGTGGGCAGGGAGGGGAGGGGGCAGGGAGGGGGGGGGCAGGGAGGGGAGGGGGCAGGGAGGGGGCAGGGAGGGGAGTAGGCAGGGAGGGGAGGGGGCAGGGAGGGGAGTTGGCAGGGAGGGGAGTGGGCAGGGAGGGGGCAGGGAGGGGAGTGGGCAGGGAGGGGGCAGGGAGGGGAGGGGGCAGGGAGGGGAGTGGGCAGGGAGGGGAGGGGGCAGGGAGGGGAGTTGGCAGGGAGGGGAGTGGGCAGGGAGGGGGCAGGGAGGGGAGTGGGCAGGGAGGGGGCAGGGAGGGGAGGGGCAGGGAGGGGAGTGGGCAGGGAGGGGAGGGGGCAGGGAGGGGAGTGGGCAGGGAGGGGAGTGGGCAGAGAGGGGGCAGGGAGGGGAGTGGGCAGGGAGGGGGCAGGGAGGGGAGTGGGCAGGGAGGGGAGGGGGCAGGGAGGGGGCAGGGAGGGGAGGGGGCAGGGAGGGGAGTGGGCAGGGAGGGGAGTGGGCAGAGAGGGGGCAGGGAGGGGAGTGGGCAGGGAGGGAGGGGGCAGGGAGGGGAGTGGGCAGAGAGGGGGCAGGGAGGGGAGTGGGCAGGGAGGGGAGGGGGCAGGGAGGGGAGTGGGCAGGGAGGGGAGTGGGCAGAGAGGGGGCAGGGAGGGGAGTGGGCAGGGAGGGGAGGGGGCAGGGAGGGGAGTGGGCAGGGAGAGGAGTGGGCAGGGAGGGGGCAGGGAGGGGGGGCAGGGAGGGGAGTGGGCAGGGAGGGGAGGGGGCAGGGAGGGGGGGCAGGGAGGGGAGTGGGCAGGGAGGGGAGGGGGCAGGGAGGGGAGTGGGCAGGGAGGGGAGGGGGCAGAGAGGGGGCAGGGAGGGGAGGGGGCAGGGAGGGGAGTGGGCAGGGAGGGGAGGGGGCAGAGAGGGGGCAGGGAGGGGAGGGGGCAGGGAGGGGGCAGGGAGGGGAGGGGGCAGGGAGGGGAGTGGGCAGGGAGGGGAGTGGGAGAGAGGGGCCAGGGAGAGGGCAGGGAGGGGGCAGGAAGGGGAGGGGGCAGGGAGGGGGGGGCAGGGAGGGGAGTGGGCAGGGAGGGGAGGGGGCAGGGAGGGGGGGGCAGGGAGGGGAGGGGGCAGGGAGGGGGCAGGGAGGGGAGTAGGCAGGGAGGGGAGGGGGCAGGGAGGGGAGTTGGCAGGGAGGGGAGTGGGCAGGGAGGGGGCAGGGAGGGGAGTGGGCAGGGAGGGGAGGGGGCAGGGAGGGGGGGGGGGCAGGGAGGGGAGGGGGCAGGGAGGGGGCAGGGAGGGGAGTAGGCAGGGAGGGGAGGGGGCAGGGAGGGGAGTTGGCAGGGAGGGGAGTGGGCAGGGAGGGGGCAGGGAGGGGAGTGGGCAGGGAGGGGGCAGGGAGGGGAGGGGGCAGGGAGGGGAGTGGGCAGGGAGGGGAGGGGGCAGGGAGGGGAGTTGGCAGGGAGGGGAGTGGGCAGGGAGGGGGCAGGGAGGGGAGTGGGCAGGGAGGGGGCAGGGAGGGGAGGGGGCAGGGAGGGGAGTGGGCAGGGAGGGGAGGGGGCAGGGAGGGGAGTGGGCAGGGAGGGGAGTGGGCAGAGAGGGGGCAGGGAGGGGAGTGGGCAGGGAGGGGGCAGGGAGGGGAGTGGGCAGGGAGGGGAGGGGGCAGGGAGGGGGCAGGGAGGGGAGGGGGCAGGGAGGGAGTGGGCAGGGAGGGGAGTGGGCAGAGAGGGGGCAGGGAGGGGAGTGGGCAGGGAGGGGAGGGGGCAGGGAGGGGAGTGGGCAGAGAGGGGGCAGGGAGGGGAGTGGGCAGGGAGGGGAGGGGGCAGGGAGGGGAGTGGGCAGGGAGGGGAGTGGGCAGAGAGGGGGCAGGGAGGGGAGTGGGCAGGGAGGGGAGGGGGCAGGGAGGGGGCAGGGAGGGGAGGGGGCAGGGAGGGGGCAGGGAGGGGAGGAGGCAGGGAGGGGAGTGGGCAGGGAGGGGAGTGGGCAGAGGAGGAAATGTTCGCAACGCGTGGTGATGAGGAGGCTGCAGGCGTGAGCTGACGAGCGTCTCTCCGTGCAGGGACCTACACGTGCCAGGTGCAAGTGGGCTCGTTCGCTGTGCTCAGGAGCAGCGTGGTGTTGGAACTGATGCCAACCATCAACCCGCAATCGGGGTCCCTGCCTTCCGAGTCGGTGAAAGAAGGCGTTTCATCCTACGTGACCTGCTGCCTGCAGCAGCAGTTGCCGAACTTGACAATAACGTGGAGTGTCGCCAACACGTCCACGAACCACCGTGAGTGGCCCACGTGGGCAGCGGTGAGAGCGAGAGGCAACGGTCGAGAGATAGTTTGACATATTCATTTAACAAAACGCTTCTCAATAATACCGAGTTCCCATGACATATAATCATATATAATAGGCAACGTTGGGCCCTTCTTCAGCTCTCTGGTTTCTCTGCGTGCTACGAATGATGAACATTTCTCGACATGTCGCCGATTGTAGTTTTCTTCGACGGACGCGCTCAGCTTGCTCCGTGTGTGCCCTTTCACACCACTGCGACCCAGCAGCAGCAGCAGCAGCAAACACCACTTTAGCTTGACGAGGTCTCCCAGCACGCACGTCTGGCCTGAACAGACTGTTGGGGCAAGTGCTGTGAGCGAGCACCGATGAAGGCCCGCACGGCACACGAGGGGACGGGTGGCCAGCATCACGCCCGGACGTTTTTGTCTACCCAATGCCGATGTTTACACACCGCACCAGCTACTCACTTGAGGCTCAGTCGACCTAGGGGAGGCCAAGAACCGGTTCAGTACACACGCACACACAACAGCAACAACCGCCATTCGGCACGATGTGTCTATGACGTCACCACGGCGCCGGTGCCAGGCTATGTGCACACTAAGGCCACTTGAAGTGTCGAAGCCTCGTTGTGCAGGTCCTGGGAGAGACGCAGCAGGTGCCATGGGTTGACCGACTGAGATAACCGTCAGATGCATCACCTGTGCCCCCTACTGCCAACTTGCTGTGTTTTAGCTGGCCGGCTCTCTGCTCGACGTTGTGAGCACACACGCACACGCTGGCACACATGCAAGCATGCACACAACCCACACGCCTACCTCGGCGCTCCCTCCACCAAACATTCATTTCAGCCGGGTCCGTTGGAGTCGGTGAGCCAGAAACTATTCCCGCACCCAGCACACCACATCCAGTATGCCTCTCGCTGTGGCCGCGGCCACGCGTGCCACTCCTGCGGAGTACACGGCCACGCGAGGTACCCAGTGAGAAATGGAGCCCCCCCTTGTACTCCGCCTCGAGTTCCGCCGCTGGTACGAATGGCTGCTTTGAACGCCCATCCCGTGTGCGTTGGATTACCGCAGAACATCCGCTTTATCCAAATGTAGGAAGGAGAGAGAGAAAAAAAATCGAACTGATGCGTTTACGTCAGTCCAAACAAAGAGTTAAAAGTTGACTGAATGTAAGTAACGCCATCGTCCAGCTGTGCGCTTTGTCACGCCCATGCCAGAGGCACGAGAAGCTGGGGTCGATCGGACCGCAGCTCTGCGAGTGGGCCACTGAGTTGATGAATGTGGCCAGATTTCTCCTCTTGCAGGTCCCCCCAATAGCAACGCAACGTTACACGCAAGTTTCGTTCGTATTGGATCATCGTGACGAGAGAGTTAACGCGTCCGCCCCCACTCCCCTACCTCCTCCACCCCCCTGCCCGGTACAGGAAGGCAGAGCTCATGCAAAGGTGATGCTTTCGTGAATTCCGTCGTGTGTGATTGCGGTGATTGATATTGGCTTGCAACTTTTTGTTGCGAATCTCTGCTGCGTTTTGCTTGTCCTGCAGTGACGAATTCGAGTGGATGTTCTGATTACCTGCACACGTGCAACGAAACCAATTACAAGTGTTCCACAAACAATAGCAGCAAGGAAATCAACGTGACCTGCATTAAAGAAGGTACGGCGCGCAAATGCATACGGCACTGCCACTCACTGAGCCACACACAGTAGAGATGACTGATGGAAAAATGTAAAAGCGCAGCCCTGCAATTACCTGGACGTGTGACTGCTGGGAGCTCTCGAAGGCATCTTGCCGACTCTTCTATGTTGACCAGACATCTTGTAAGGGGCGGAAGCACCTACACTTTGTATGTGTGTATGTTAAACTTCTTTCGCACCGTACGGGCCAACTGTGCTAGTCGGAGGTGCGGGGGAAGGACAACAAACTAAACACAAAAAGCAGTTTTCAAGTCGAGATTTTAAAGCGCATAGCTCCACTCGCTTCCTGATACCGGCGTGAGGAAACGTGACCACCACCCCCCCGCCCACAACCACAGAGATACCCCCCCGCCCCCGCGCTTTATAATCATCAAATAATTAATTCGCACAGGTAAAGAAAGAGGGGCAGCCCTGAAATGACCTGTGCACTTCGCTGCTGGCAGAAGGGCCCCTACCGGAGGGAGTTCGAGAGAGCCCCTCTAGAGGGCATTTGGCCGCTGTCCTGGAAGAGGATGGGAGTGCCCACACTGCACCGTGTGTGCACCTGGTGGCGTGGGCACATCCACACTGCTGTGTGTGCACCTGGTGGCGTGGGCACATCCACACTGCTGTGTGTGCACCTGGTGGCGTGGGCACATCCACACTGCTGTGTGTGCACCTGGTGGCGTGGGCACATCCACACTGCTGTGTGTGCACCTGGTGGCGTGGGCACATCCACACTGCTGTGTGTGCACCTGGTGGCGTGGGCACATCCACACTACACCGTGTGCATACTGGCAGTGGAGGGAGGTGGCGGGGTAGCGAGGGATGGATTTAAGAATCTTGCTCCATTATTGAAACTGCCGCGCCGGGAGGTGGAATCAAAGCGGCGACGTCTGGATCGCGAGTCCAGTGCGTGCTGCACGTGACACCGCGCCAACATCCAAGCGGCCCTGCAAGGGACAGCGGCGTTTTCTTTCTAAATATATATTTTTTTAACGAAAGGCAGAACCAGCATGATGAAGTATGCTCAAATAATGCTTCATAACCCCACGACGTGAGGAGGCCCTCTCCCGGCAGTGGAATGCAAAAAAAGAGTGGCTGTACACGCACACAAATTAGAAGCTTGACAATCACGATGCTTGCCTTGCCCATTGCGTCGTGTGATTTCAGGTGACTCTTGCCCAGCAAATCAAACAGGGAAGTGGAATTGGACGATAACGGCGGCAGGCACAACAGCATACCAGACCTGTGAATCCAATTACACCGGATTAATAAGCCGGTTTTGCAGTAAGAGTAACACATGGGACGTTGAAAACGACAACTGCATATCGACTAAACTCAAAGACATCATGGACAAGGCGACGGTGAGAAATGGCTCAAAGCAGATTGAGGGGGAGGAGGATGTGGGGGGTGGGGGTTTGGTGTTAGTTCTGTAAAGAGGTGGGGGGGGTAGTTCTGTAAAGAGGTGGGGGAGGGGGGGTAGTTCTGTAAAGAGGTGGGGGAAGGGGGGTAGTTCTCTAAGGAGGTGGGGGAGGGGGGGGTAGTTCTCTAAGGAGGTGGGGGGTGGGGTAGTTCTGTAAAGAGGTGGGGGGGGGGTAGTTCTGTAAAGAGGTGGGGGAGGGGGGGTAGTTCTGTAAAGAGGTGGGGGAGGGGGGGGGTAGTTCTCTAAGGAGGTGGGGGAGGGGGGGGGTAGTATGTGAAGAGGTGGGGGAGGGGGGGTAGTTCTGTAAAGAGGTGGGGGAGGGGGGGGTAGTTCTGTGGGGGGTAGTTTTGTAACGAGGTGGACTGAATGAGGCTTTTGTTCGAAATCGTCTCAGGGGAAGGTGGAACTGAGACGGCGGCTACGCTCAGAACCGACCCCCCAGGGTACATGGCGAATCAGGGCGACCTCCCTGGGCCCCGCAATTTGGGGGGGGGGGCACTTCGACGTCATGGTAGTGTCAGACGTAATCCCGCAGAGTTTGAAGGCGTCGGGGTGCCCGCACTGTCGTGACTTGCTCCGGGACCCACACAACTCTGCGGTCGGCCCTGGCTACGCTGGACGTGGCCTGTAATGTGTGCACGTACGCTGAACTTCTTTCGCACCGTACGTAGCCAACCGCGAGGAACAAAAGCAGAAGTCTCGTGGTCTGCGGTGTGGCGAGCGAACACAGTTGCAGACGGGATGGAATAAGTGACATTCTTTGTAAGAGTGATCGTGGTAATTTGCGTGTCGATGCGTTCCGGGCGGTGTCTCTCGCACTAGACGGCAAATGCCGGCAAAGACCTGGACTCGAAAGTTCCGGATCTGATCAAGGAACTGTCCGGGTACCAGCCTAACCAGATACCCGCCAACGACGTGAAGGATGTCAGCTTTGTGATCAAGCTCTTGGCCAATGTCATTTCGCAAAATAACATCCCCATCAACAAAACCGTGGCGGAGGTGAGAGACGCTTTATTTCAAATGCGCACCAACAGAGAGGCGGTACAATACAGTTTGTTTTGGGTTACATCGCGTAAATATATAAATGTGTGTTGTTGAAACCCGCTGCCACCCTACACAGCCAACTAGTAAGGGTTGTCACGTAAACATAACATGGCTAATTCGTCACTAGTACAGCACACCGGTGTGTTGGAGAGAAAATTACAAAATCTACACGTTTATATATTTACGCGATTTAACCCCCCCCCCCCGCCCCCACCGTATGATGGATATTGGTGGCGAATGCCGACTACATGTTAAAGAGGCTGTAGCCGGAGCCCGAGCACAGCGTCGTCTGTGCTCGGGCTCCTGGACTGCGTTGTCTGCTTCTCCTTCCCCAGGGCGCGCGCCCTGGGGAAGAGCTTCGAGATGCTGTTTGTCGGAGGTGACCCAATGGGTCCTGAGTTGACAAGTCTGAGAACCCGGTGCAATTCATGGCGCGCCGCCTCTGGTTAAAGCGGGAGGTCAAGTGTAGACAGTTGATCGACCCATCGCCAATGACTGCACACACATAAAACACGTTTATACATTTGACTCTGCACTGGAATTGGCAAAAAAAAGAGAAAACTATCGTTTAGTTTCGAAGTGACAAACGTGACTCTCTCTCAGTGGTGGAGCGGGTGGGGAAGCACTGCCCGATGTTGTGTGGCCTAGAGGCCACTAGAAGGGACCTCAGAGTTAGCTCTCCAATACCCACTTCCGTGGGCCGCTCGATTACATGGAGCGTCGCACGGCTGTCCGCAGGAAGATGGGTATTCTGGCAGTGTCACCTGACATCATGCTTCTGACACAATCCCGAGAGCACGATTGAGATAACATTTGACAAAAAATAGAATTTTTTAAAATTTACCCGGTTGTCCTTGTCCGTACCTTTCAGGATTTCTTCACTTCTGTGAGCAAAGTGCTCGATATAACTTTGAAAGTTTCGTGGGATAAACTTAACGACAATGGTAACAACAGCGCCTCGCTGCTGAAGAGTGTCGAGACGTTTGTGGAGGCAATCAGCGGTGAGTCAGCACCAGCGGCACAACGGCAGCCACAGCGGCGGGGATGGCAAGGAGTGAAATGGTGCCCGCTCTGTCCTCTCCCTCTCCACGGCACAGTTGTACTCTGCGTACGCGATAGCTCTGCTACTGCCGCAGAAAATAATAATAATGTCTAAAACTATTTTTCTTATTTACTAGGTAAGGCAAACTGAGCTGTGTAGCTCTTTTTTAGAAGCGACCTGGCAATCACAAATGATAGCTCAACGAAGTGGCTTATCATCCTGTGTAAATGTATAGCAGCAATCAAATACTCTGAACGCATGACGTTGATTATAAATGTTGAGGCGAAAACGAGAGGACCTGGAGAAAAATCCACGCGACCATGGGGAGAGAGACACGCAAACTTCAAATATTTAGGCGTCAGGGTCTGGATCGAACCCACGACCTCCTGTATACCAGGCGAGGCAGTTAACATCTCCCCACCGTGACGCCATATGTATCCAGAAACGTGACTTTGAGTTGTTATTTTACATAGCGCTACACATGACAATTGCAGCTCGCAATGCTGGCCAATTAGTAAGGGGGGGACAGTTTCCGATTGGAGGCGTGGGAGAACATACGCGAGGTGCACTGCAGCCAGACCGCCGCTGCCAACAAGTGCCCCGATCTCTCTGTGCCCTGCCATCAGGGGGCTGATGTTTGCTTTGTGCTATACAGTATAACCGCAATTTGATTGATTTTAGGGTAATTTTCGAATTTGGCAAATTTGGATGGTGACATCGGCACACAATGGCCTCCTCTTGCAAATGATGCCACGGGATCTTTAACATCCACTGTGAAACAGAAGGCGCGTTGTGCTATTACGGTTGGTACATCAGCACCAACAGCTCTGCAATTTGCATTTTAAACGCGTAATTTAATGACTATATCAACCGGAATGCACCCAATCACGTTACGATCTCAGAAGCTAAGCAGATTTGAGCCTGTATAGTGCTGGCATGTGTGACCACAATACACGCAACAGGTGGCTGTGGGGCTGGATATGGGCAGCAAAATGCAGTGCAGCAGAATCCGCTGTGGTGCTGTGCGTAGATTCATCCACAGCTCGGCTCCCGCCTTCAGCACCCCGCGCCGAGCCAGCGTGGGACACGGTCAGGTAACCCCCCACTCAGCCGCGTGGCGTCGGGAAGCCCTCATCCAGCAGTGGATTGGCAAAGCATCGGTACAGTACACGTACAGTGCGGTATAACTGCCCATTACGCTGCTCAGCTGCTGCGAGTTGGACCGTCACATCGCGAGGCGATAAGAGCTGGCGATGGCTTGGGGCAGGCCTTCATCCAGCAGTGTATAAAGCAAGGCTGAAGAGGCTGAGAAAACAATGCATTGCTTCTCCGACTTGTACAGGTTGGAGAGCTGCAATTTAACCGCGAACCCATCAACAGGTTTCACTTGTTCCCCTAACTTTTGGTGACCTCACGCACCGACTCACTGCCGCCCCCAACACTGCCCCCATTCCCCTTCTTTCACCCCCCCCTCCACCACCCCACCGTAGATGTGGGTGAGAATGATACTTTTAATATCACCAAACCTAACGTGGCCGTGAATGGAACGCGGTACATGTCGGGCAAGTTGGCCACTGAGTACAGCAAGGTTTTCAATCATTCTCATAAAAACTCCAAAGTGAGCATCCCCCAGAATGTGGTGAAAGAATTGTTGAATTGGGGCAACTTGACTATCACAAGCATCCAATTCAGGTGTGTTGTCTTACATTACTTCTACTGGATGATGGTGGTGGTGGTGGTGGTGGTGGCGGGTGTTCACCAAACCAAGAACGAGCCAGGCTGAAACCTGCTGAGCTGGGCATGGTTCGAGCAGCAACCATCGTGCGATATCCACATTTGAAATCCGGCCGATGGGCGAATGAGACGATCAGTGTTTGTCGCTCTTACCTCCTGGAAATGTACGCGAAGGACGGTAGTTTAATATCCGTTTCATTCGCATGTCAGAGAACATTTTCATTTCCATCTGTGGGGCAGCTGTGTCTTCCGCAGAGGTGATGATAAGAGGTGCAGATATTATCTTTATGAATCGTGCACGTTAATCGATGATGGTGGAAAGCGATAGGGTGCTCTTAAGATGGGGAGTAATTTCTGACGATAACTATAAGGATGATTGTATGATGTATGATGACGAAAGGTGAGAATTGTTGTTAATGAGGACCACGGCGGATAGTGTATGAGAAATAGTGTGCGTTTTATTCTCATTTTGATGATGATGATGGTGGCTATTGCAGCACCCTGTCAGAACTTCTGCCAAATTACGGCAACAGCAGCAGTTTCAAGGTGGGGAGCGTTGTGCTCAGCACCGTCATCCGCAGCACCGTCATCCCCAACAACGCCACCGTGCACAAGAACATCAGTATGGAGATGGAACTCGGGGACAACGTCACGGCGAAGAACCAAACAAGTTGCGTTTTCTGGAAATTTGGGGTCAGTCGCGTTACACGTTAAACACTCCCCTACGTGGTATTTCTATACAAATACAATACTTACACACACCGCTTACACACACCGCTTACACACACCGCTTACACACACCGCTTACACACACACACGCAATGCCTACACACACGTAATAGTAATAATAATAATGCAATTTGTAACGTGCACTATTTTTCATGGACATATTTGACCCTGACTCTAGGCACGCAGCCAAGCTCAGTGTCGCCCAAAAGGCAGACGGAAGAGATGCTGCGCCCTTACAGAAGGACATGGGGCCTTAAAGTGTCTCCTCTTAAGAGTCGGGTCACATTGCTGATTCTTGATTTGAAGTTTTCGTGACTGCAAGGATTCATACTCTTTGGTTTTTTCGGTAAAGTCACTTAAGCGGTGTGGTGTTCTCGCTAAGTTGTCCCAACCTGAAGAAGGACGCTTGTGTTGCGCCCAAAACGTCGTGATTTAATTTATTAAATTTTTTTACCTACGTGACTTTACCGAAAAAAACAAAGAGTACACATGCTGCTTTTGCTGCTGCTGTGAATGTGCAGCCGCAGCGGCAGCAGCGGAACGACGAAGCTGCTGCTGCTGCTGCTGGCCACGTTGCAGACGGCGGAGGCTGCCACGGAGAAACGACTCCCGGCAGAGGTTGCTCTGCAGTGGAGAGGTCTCCCGTGAGCTCGAGTGCGGGGTGACAGAGAGTGGAGAGGGATAATGGTGGATGACTCAAAGTCGAGGTGCTGTGGCACAGGCGGCAGGCGATCTTGTAGCTGACCTGGCCACCTCTAGGACCAATGACCACAATTAACACCAGGGGTTTCATTGTGTCTTGAGGGTAACAATAAAGAACACAAGGAGGGATGTTATGCATCAGTGCCAGTCCGTCGTCATTACATTTAAAGCTGCGCTTGTGTCGCCTCTGCACCGTGTTGTTTTTCTGTTCCCATACAGGAGAACAACACCAGTGGCAACTGGTCAAATGATGGTTGCAACACCACCACCAAGTCCCCTGGCAACGTGGTGGTGTGTAGCTGCGACCACTTGACCTCCTTCTCGGTGCTCATCTCTCCCGAGGCACCCGACGACGTGATCCTCTCCAACATCACCTACGCGGGCGTGGGCATCTCCATAGGTGCGCTCGTGTGCGCCCTCGTTCTCGAGGCCGTGGCCTGGCGCTCCGTCAAGATGCACGTAAACTCGCGCATGCGTCACATCATCCTCATCAACATCTGCGCGTCGCTGCTCTTCGCCGACGTGTGGTTCATCGTGGCCGCGTCCGACGTCAGCACCAAGTACAACACCAACCTCTGCCTGGCCTCCACCTTCCTCATGCACCTCGGCTACCTCTCGGTCTTCTTCTGGATGCTGTGCGAGGGCCTCTTCCTCTTCTACCTCGTCGTCATCATCTTCAGCCGCGTCCCCATGAAGCATCTCAGGGCGGCCGTGTTCGCCGTGGGCTACGGGGCGCCGGCCGTCATCGCGGTCGTCACCATCGCCGTGACGAAGCCGCGCGACGCGTACACGCGGAAGGGAGTCTGCTGGCTCGACTGGGAGAACAGCCGGGCTCTGTTGTCCTTCGTCGTACCCGCGTTGGTCATCGTCGGCTTCAACACCATCATCCTGGTGGTGGTGCTCACCAAGATCCTGCGCCGTCGCAGCGTCAGCGCGGCCATCAGCGAGAGCCCCTCGGTTCGCGTCAAGCAGCTGGCCAAGAGCATCGCCGTCATGATGCCCGTCCTCGGGGTCACGTGGGGACTCGGCATCTTCGCTTTCAGTAAAGAGAACAGCAAGAACCCCGCTCTGCACTACCTGTTTGCCATCTTCAATTCCCTGCAGGTGCGAGCAACCCACACACATATTCACCCGGTGTTGCGGAAATTGGTTGAGTTTCAAGGACTGTAATATTGTTTTCAAACAGGTTTCCATAAAATACAACCCAAACAATTCCACCGACACCACAACACCGCGACAAAGCAATTGAAGCCCTGCTGATTTGCACATGGTATACTGCACGGTACAAGTCAAAGGTGTATCGAGTATATGTAACATTCATTATGGAGTTAGACAAACATGCAAAGTCCAGTACCTCTGAGGATATCCCTCGAGACTCGGTGAGATTTTTTTTGGGTGAAAAAATTTCACATCACGTTTATAAAGCGCGTCCCATTTTGTTTGTTGTCGTTACGGCAGGGTCTCTTCATCTTCCTGTTCGACTGTCTGATGGACAAAGAGGTGAGTACCCACACTTCATTCACGTCCCCATACAACATCAATCGATAACGCCTCATTTGTTCTTCTGCACATTCGTGATACATTCTTCCTCTCTAATTGCTTGCTTGCCCCGTCACTGGCTTTGGCAGCAAGCCCTCAGATCATCGTCATTGGTTCGGGTCGGACGCGTGGTCTCTTGCTCGATCGGTTGTTTGCTCGCCTGTGCCAGCCTCTTACATTCCATTATTAATGTGTGCGCTCGTGGGCGGAAACAATCATGCCCCATTCTTCAAAGGGTCGAGATGTGCCTCTCGTTTGCCCAACCAGCCCCTGCATAGGCTTCTTGGACAATTATAATGAGCCAAGAGTAGTACGGCAAGATGGATAAACCATCGTGAGACAAAGTACAGGAGACCTCAGCTCAGGTTCAAAGCAAATTGTCACGTGGGCACTTTCTGCTCCAAATTAAAATTAACACGGTTAAAATGAGTAATTTAATAATAATAATAAAAAATAAGTTAATGTGTACAAAATAATGCTGCATACTCATTTGGTTGCATGTGATGTGATCATGATATGGTATCGGCATCTTGTGAACTGTAAAGAAAGTTGCACATTCACAAAGCCCGTCGGCGGCCCGGCTAGGTTAGGGCCACGTTCCCATGTGCAGCAGCAGGGATCAAGCACAGAGCACCGGACGTCTGCCTTGTCGACTGATGCGAGACGTCGGCAGGTGTTCACCAAAGACAAAATAAAAAACGGTGACTGTACTAGGACGGGCGATCGGCACCTTTGACCGGTCCCCACGCAAGTTCACAACGCCTACTCCGTCTGCCTCCATCCTCCCCCTCCTCACCCCCTGTGCTCGCTCGCAGGTGCGCAAGGCAATAAAGAAAATACTTGGCCTAGACCTGGCGAAACGTGTAAGTGTCGCCGTGCGCGCGTCAGTCGCAAGACGCAGTGCGAACAGCAGTCGCGTTTGTCTGCCTGCTGAGGATTCGGAGACAATGACTGTGCTGACAACAGAAATGTCCTTGCCTTGACGTGCACGCGCGTGTGTGCGTATGCTTCTGTGTGTCTGCATGTACGCGTGGGTGCACGCGCGTGTGTGCATATGCTTCTGTGTGCGTGTCTGCATATGCGCGTGGGTGCACGTGTGTGTGTGTGCGTATGCTTCTATGTGCGTGTGTCTGGATGTACGCGTGGGTGCACGTGTGTGTGTGTGTGTGTGTTTCCACGATGTCACCTGCAGAAGGGCGCCAGCAGTCAGGGGACGCCCGTTTCGCCGTACAAATCTCGCTGTGAGTACCCACAATGCAGAGGCCGTGATACCAAGCACAGTCGTTGCAGGCTGTCTCGACACCACTCTCAAGCATTACTGACGATAACTCCCCTACACCTCTAACAGCATAGGCTAAGCTGGTTTATTTGAGTTTTTGTCATCTTGGTGACCGAGGTACATTTTTCAAAAACCAGCCACCCTCGTCTCTTGAGTTCTCACCTGGTAAAAAAAAAACATTAAAAAACACACGAGGCTAAGGCCAAACACGAGCCCCAACCACCACACCCCATCGCTAACCTCGTGACCCCTTGCCACCCACCGCCCGGCTCGCTTCTCTCACTGCAGCCACGGCGTCGACGGACCCGCGCGTCACGGGGAAAGCGAGCCGCTCCGTGCGCGACCGCGTCAAGAAGACGATGCCCTCCCTGCCCGACCGCAGCACCAGCAAATACGACTCTCTCATCGCCGACTAGGGGCTCCACAAACCGTGCCCCCTCCTCACCTCCTCTGCGGAGTCAGCCCCTGGAAATCCTCTCCACCTACTTACATCATCACCATCATTATCGTAAAATTGTGGGGTTCCGGGTTGGGCTGCTTGTTGAATATTTATTCTGTCAATATTTCCCCACGCCCTACTGCGGGAACCCTATTCAATCCCTGAGGATGGCCACAATTGCGAGCATCTACAGCTGAATGGAATGTGGCCTATTTATGAAATGAGTCGATGGTTTCACAGATGCACAAAAAGTGAATGCACCATCACCATCCCAACAGTTCATCCAGGTACTCCAACACCGTGGTATGTCAAGGACACATTTCTTCTGCGTGACAGAATTCCTAACCGGTTGGCAGACCATACACAAGTCAACAGCAAATTTTTGATTCCATGAACGACTGATACATCTGAAGTGTCTGAAACGTACATTCAGATTCGTGGAACTGCTTATTTTTATTGTTTTTTTTTTTATCAATTACGGGTATTATAGCCACACAGATTCTCTTATTATTTAAGCAATAAAAAATATCACCGTCGTATATTAAATGTAGCAGTGGCGAGCTCAAACTTATGACGGGGAAACTTTTAACCGCTAGAATGTCAGCGAATCAAGACATTGCAAGGTATTGTGGACATAGCTTGTAAAAAAACACAAGAGACGTTAAGGAGTGGGTGTATTACCACAATCAGTCACGATCAATCCACTGATGGTTCATGACATCCCCAATCCATCGCCATATCTCGCGGTGTCTCGCAATGCAAGCTGATCTCACCGCATTGGTCGTCCTCTGGGGTATTGTCCCCTTCCTTATGCTGCCACTCTGTCGTTAGTCTCGACCACACAGGCATGACAACACCGAGTCAAGCAAAGGCTGTGGTGTATGGTCGTTCACATTTTTTAGGGAGTATTTTAAGAGGTGGTTATATTTTTTACGCACCAACATTAAACGCACTGTGCAATGTTTTGCATGAGCACTTAAATAAACGAACTCAGGTTATGAAAAAAAGCTTGTCAAAAATAAAACAAAGATCCCTCAAAGCCATAACAGACTGTTGGGGCAAGTGCTGCTAGCGAGTAGCACCTAATGAAGGCCGACACGTCACACGAGGGGGTGAATGGCCAGCACTACGCTCGGCCGCCTTTGTCTCCCCAGTGGCGATGTTCACACCGCACCAGGTGCTCATTTAAAGCTGAGTCGACCTAGGAGAGGCCCAGGACCGGTTCAGAAATATCATTGCTGGTGTTCGCCGTTCGCGGGAATCGAACTCGGGTAGCCAGCTTCGTAGAGCAGCGTGCTAACCACTGCACCACCGCTCCTGATTTTGCCATAAACACATCGGTGCTCACCTGCGCACACGATTACTCAATAGGGTGGGCACCTCCTTACTGAGCAATCGTTCGCGTGACCAGTCAAATCGTGGTGAGGTTTCAAGCTCTCCGGGTCTCACCAGCAGACCGTGGCCTGTCCAAGACACACGAATGGGCCCGCAGGGTGCTGGTGCTACTCTCCGTGAACACGGCAGTTCCCTGACGGTGCGGTACACAAACAATGGCACACAATGTCTGTTGGGATTGTGCATAGCTAAGGTCTGCTTTACCACCAAAAAATGTAAATGCGGTACTGTGACATTAAAAAGCTAAAAATAACGTAAAATAAAGCGTTTGCTATTAAAGTCCATCGTCAGCTGTGATCAATCCACTACTGATTGAAGACCTGCACAAATTTCTCGGCCAAATTTGCAGCCAAATTCATTTGTGAGCAGCACTGCCCGTGCGTTTCCGTGGGATATCACTTAAGTGAATTATATGCGATGCAGATTCATATTAATTTCTCAATGACATTTGCTGGCCTACTTTCAACAATATAACATCACGTCCACAACGATTTAACATATCAACAATAATGACATATCTACATGAATAAGATAATTTTAATATCATCAAAAATACATCGCCATGTCAACAATATAATATTAACATCAACACGTATGGAAAATAGCAGCAGCTGTACAGTTATATCACCACAACTGAAACTACATTCTAACCACAACTTCATCACCGCAATCATAACACTCACATTATGAGCACAATTAACCCCACATAACCACAACATTATAGACAAATTATAACTACAACTGATACCTCAAGCAGTCATAACCACAACGATATCTACCACATTGTAAGCATTATAACCACCATAAACATTCTGACCAGAGCCACGTTATACACAGTCATCTTATGACAGCTGCCACAATATAACCACAACCGTAAAAGCACCATATCGTGCTGTACAATTATTGGTGGGGTCCCAACAATAATCGATTCACTCGTAGGGGAAAGGGTCAACCGACTAAAGTTCCACACGAGCTAAAGATTCAGTGTCCAGTGTCACACACAGAGCGTCTCTGTATTATGCGGTCGCATTTCTTTACGCGCACACAAGGCGCTTGCCACAAATGAACCACAACAGCCCGCTGATCTCGTACAAGGAGCATAAACCACCACCATCATCACCACCACCATCATCACCATCACCACTACCACCATCATCACCACCACCACCATCATCACCACCACCATCACCACCACCAACCATCACCACCACCGCCATCATCACCACACCACCACTACCACCATCATCACCACCACCATCATCACCACCACCACTACCATCATCATCACCACCATCATCATCACCACCATCACCACCACCACTACCACCATCATCACCACCACCATCATCACCACCACCATCATCACCACCATCATCATCATCACCACCATCACCATTACCACCACCATCATCATCATTACCACCACCATCATCATCACCACCACCACCACTACCACCACCATCACCACAATCATCATCACCACCATCATCACCACCACCACAATCACCATCACCATCATCACCACCACCACTACCACCACCATCACCACCACCACCACAATCATCATCACCACCATGATCACCACCACCACCACAATCACCATCACCATCATCACCACCACCATCACGCGAACTGCGGTGGTCATCCTCGCAGCAGCAGTAGTGGCGGCGGCTTCTGGCTGCTCGACATCGAACAAAGGCGGCGGTCACCGCATCGCGCGGCGCTTGCAGATGTGCTCCTGCGGCCGTCTGGAACGCTCTTCCCACCGATATTATGAAACCGCTGGGAGCTGTTTCACTTGAACATCATCATCAAGATTGACACACGCATTTTTTTAGAACGGCTTCTTCTTGTTGTTGTGTTGTTTGTCCTTCCCCCGCATCTCCGATTCGCGCGCTTGGCAACGTACGGTGTGAAAAAAGTTCAACATAGACGAGGCCACGCGCCCCGGGGCAACGATTCGTTTGAATCTCGCAATCCAATTCCAGCATCGATTCTATTTTGATTGTAAACACTGCGGCAAATGTGGCGGCCTCTAGTGGCCGCAGAGATCACGCGAGCTGCCATACTTACTATAATCACCCAGGAATGTCTGTCCTCAACGCTTGTGACGTCACTCCACATCGAACAGCCCCCCTCATTAATATTGATGAGCAGGTGACGTCACTCCACATCGAACAGCCCCCCTCATTAATATTCATGAGCAGGTGACGTCCTCCAAATGGACACCCCCCACCCCTCCTCATTCACAATCATGAGCGGGTGACGTCACTCAATATGGAGTATTCCCCACCTCCACTAATAATCATGAGCAGGTGACGTCACTCCACATCGAACAACCCCCCTCATTAATAATTAATAATCCCCGTCCATTCATAATATTTAGCGGGTGACGTCACTCCACATGGGGGGGGGCGAGGCGCCTCCCCCCCCCACGTCACGTGGTCTCCGCATTGCCGATCGAGCGTCGTTGCTGCGCCGCGCGCTGGGGAGCAAATCGCCGCGGACCCCTGGGCTGACGCGACCCGCCACGTGGCATCCGACATCAGCACCCCTACCCCTACCGCCCGTCTTCTCGGGGGTCTCCAACCCCTACACGGACCCCCCCCCCGTCCCTCGTTACGAACCCTCCGCTGGAGAGACGACTCGACGGGGCTGCTTGAGCCATGACCACCGCGCTGTGCGGTACGGGTGGGTTAGGGGTCGGCGGGCAAGAGGGTTGCGCAACTCTCCGGTAGAGACGGCGCCCTGCCGCTGACGGCAGCCGCGGCCGGGATTGGAACCGAACCCGCCGGGTGATCTCAGCACTGCGCCGCCAAGAGACGCCCTCTAACCCCCCTCCCTCTCTCCCTCCCTATCTCCCATCGCCACATGGCCGCCTCCGAGACGGACCCTATGCTTCATGGTGATGATGACGGTGGTGATGATGGTGGTGGTGTTAGTCCCGGCCACACCGCTGGGTGGCGTTCGGAGACGGTGGAGTCGGGACTGGCGCCCCCTCCTCCCATCAGTACCGTGACCGCAACCACCAGAGAGAGCACCGCCAACACCACAACCACCAGCAGCAACAACAACATTTCCAGCAGCACCAACAACAACATCTCCAGCAGCAGCAACAACAACATTTCCAGCAGCACCAACAACAACATCTCCAGCAGCAGCGGGCCTTGTGGAGCTGAAGCGCCTCGTCCACCGGCGGGAGAGGCGGCGTCCCTCGAGGTGTCGCTCTCGCTGGCGCAGCTGCTGCTGCTCGTGGGCCGCGGCGAGGAGGTCCCCGGCCTGAGGAGCCGCGGCCGCGTCTGCGCCACGGGCCGCGAGCCGAGCGCCGCCACGGCGCCCCGCCAGCCCAAGCCGTGGCACCGGCCGGGGGGCCCCGCGGGGGGCCCGCCCCTGGGGCCTGCGCGGCCCTCCGGCGTGGACCGGCAGGTCCGGCAAAGGGCCGAGGGTGATCGGAGCGGCCGTGGGCCCTCCCAGGACGCAGGCGGAGTTGGAGGGCCCACGCAGTCGGGGACCGTTCATGACCCCCCCCACCCCCCTTTAAGTGACGGGGACACGGGCAGAGACGCGGTTAGTTAGAGACACGGGTGGTCAGGGACACGGTCAGAGACACGGTCAGAGACACGGGTGGTCATGGACACGGTCAGAGACACGGGTGATCAGACACGGGTGGTCAGGGACACGGTCAGAGACACGGGTGGTCAGGGACACGGTTAGAGGCACGGGTGGTCAGGGACACGGTTAGAGACACGGGTGGTCAGGGACACGGTTAGAGGCACGGGTGGTCGGGGACACGGTCAGAGACACGGGTGGTCAGGGACACGGTCAGAGACACGGGTGGTCATGGACACGGTCAGAGACACGGGTGATCAGACACGGGTGGTCAGGGACACGGTTAGAGGCACGGGTGGTCAGGGACACGGTTAGAGACACGGGTGGTCAGGGACACGGTTAGAGGCACGGGTGGTCAGGGACACGGTTAGAGGCACGGGTGGTCAGGGACACGGTTAGAGGCACGGGTGGTCAGGGACACGGTTAGAGATACGGGTGGTCAGGGACACGGTTAGAGGCACGGGTGGTCAGGGACACGGTTAGAGGCACGGGTGGTCAGGGACACGGTCAGAGGCACGGGTGGTCAGGGACACGGTTAGAGATACGGGTGGTCAGGGACACGGTTAGAGGCACGGGTGGTCAGGGACACGGTTAGAGACACGGGTGGTCAGGGACACGGTTAGAGATACGGGTGGTCAGGGACACGGTTAGAGGCACGGGTGGTCAGGGACACGGTTAGAGGCACGGGTGGTCAGGGACACGGTTAGAGGCACGGGTGGTCAGGGACACGGTTAGAGGCACGGGTGGTCAGGGACACGGTTAGAGACACGGGTGGTCAGGGACACGGTTAGAGGCACGGGTGGTCAGGGACACGGTTAGAGGCACGGGTGGTCAGGGACACGGTCAGAGATACGGGTGGTCAGGGACACGGTCAGAGGCACGGGTGGTCAGGGACACGGTTAGAGGCACGGGTGGTCAGGGACACGGTTAGAGGCACGGGTGGTCAGGGACACGGTTAGAGACACGGGTGGTCAGGGACACGGTTAGAGATACGGGTGGTCAGGGACACGGTTAGAGGCACGGGTGGTCAGGGACACGGTTAGAGGCACGGGTGGTCAGGGACACGGTCAGAGGCACGGGTGGTCAGGGACACGGTTAGAGACACGGGTGGTCAGGGACACGGTTAGAGGCACGGGTGGTCAGGGACACGGTTAGAGGCACGGGTGGTCAGGGACACGGTTAGAGACACGGGTGGTCAGGGACACGGTTAGAGACACGGGTGGTCAGGGACACGGTTAGAGGCACGGGTGGTCAGGGACACGGTTAGAGACACGGGTGGTCAGGGACACGGTCAGAGGCACGGTTAGTTAGAGACACGGTTAGAGACACGGATGGTGAGAGACACTGTTGGTTAGAGACACGGGTGGTCAGAGACACGGTTAGAGACACGGGTGGTCAGGGACACGGGTGATTAGACTCGGAACTTTCGCAACGCGCCCGCGAGGGGAAGTCCACTGGAGAGATGGAGCGATGAAATCGGCTCGTGTGCAGGGGCTGGATGGATTCCTGCGGAGTGCGACCGCGAGAGATGGCGACGGACCTGGGGAGGCCTTCACCCAGCAGTTGATAGATCATAGTTGATGAAACATTGGTTTGGAGGTTCGATGTGCTGCTGATGGACATGGGTGTTGATTT